AGAATTTTGTCTGTGACATTCTCCCCCACTAATTCCTTCGACGTTCTCGTCGAAGCCTTCGTTGACACTGTAACTTCTCACCTTCGCTGAGTCTTCAATCTTCTACTCCAGCTACAATGCGCCTCTTGGCTCCCAACTGCTCTCTGGTGCTGTTGTTGAGTAGTCGAATTTTGATCCGCTATGCTGCTTCAACTCGCCAATGACTCTAACTCTAGTGTGGGGTTGGCTGAGTTGTGCTGATCCCTGTTCGCTCATTTGGCAATCGACCTTCGTCCACCTGCTCTCGGGTCACACTCAGACGAAACACAGCTCTAGGACCGTCTGTCGCCTAGTAGCTCTCGAAGTCCACCGACTTTGCTAAAATTGGTGTACCATTGTCTGAATCCTAGGCCTCTGTCCCTACCAGCATAATCTTCGCTACGCACCGCTTCCTTCATGACAATTTGAATGATAGCACTGTGGCATATTCTTCAATAGTACTCGCTTCCGCGTCCTCTTGCCCCGTGCCAAGGCCTTTTGAACCTAACTTCGCCTCTACAAGTTGAGTCGCCTTAATTCCTCCGTCAAATACTTCTCTGAGGTAAGGTGCATGTGCCTTGAAGTTCCCTTCGTCTTTGGCACCATGCAGGATGAGCCTGCTCCATCAGAATGAAGGACCCATGGAACGACATGATCCTGCTCTTGCCTCTGTAAGAGTTCATGTCCTCGACCACTGTCCAAGGAAAGCTCTATGCTTTTTCTCCATATTCCATCTTCTATGCCAGCTCCTTTCATGCGGCTTGGGTACTTCGTCAAGTTACACCCAAGTTGCTTTGCTCCTCGTTTTGCATTGAGTTGACGGTAGCCCTCGCGCCCACCATTCCACGAGTCAGCCCTTCGTTGAGTCTGATCTCTATATCGACTCCAATTGTGCCTTCATTTGTGTTATCTTAGATCGCTCCCTCACTTGATCTCGTAATGCATTCCCCAATGCATTATCTTAAGTGAGATCATGCGACGACTCCTTGTCGCTCGCTTGGTCCGTTGAGCATCATGGAGTTGTTGTTTTTAAGGTACTCCTCAATATGTGCGGTTTGTTGCACATGATTCTCCTTCTAGAGAACCGGGATCTATCCTTCCTGGATATCTATCCCGTTGGAGCAACTTCTTTCTTCGCTTCCTTCGCTTTGAAAGTTTCGGAGACCACCATCCCTTTGGACTACGTCGACTTGCTGAACAAATTGTGCATTGTTCTACCTCCTGCAAACTCATTTGCTAGATTACATTTCCATGTCAATACAGCCCCCACTACACCACTCAAGGCCTAGCAACATACTGAACTCGCTGCACACTTCAGCCTCCTACGAACGTATCCTTCTCATGCCGAAGAGAAAGTTTTAATGCTCCATGGCGCCGAGTTTCGATCGCCTTGGGATGGCCGTGAACATTCTATCGTCCGCATACAAGCCCTTGCACGAGTACCGAATTTTTCGAGTTAGCAATTCCCCTCACCTCTGTGAGCTTTTCACAACTCTTTCGGTCGCTGAGCAACCCATTCCACCTTATATGGTCTCATCTTTTACCAAGCGCCTTGCTTGCCTTAAGCACTATCAAGTATAGTTGTCAACGTCGAGCCGTAGCTCGAACTCAACCATCCCAACCTTCATACGCTACACATTCTTCCCAGCTTACTTGTTCTCATGGTGCCTCTTGCGCGAAGGGTTGGCCATTCCTCTGAATGTCAATCTCAGATGATCGCTCTTCTGAGCGACTCCTTTTCCCTACATCCCCATGCTTGTTTTCCCTAAAACGGTTGCGCGTGCTAGCTGCCCTCAACGCAGCCCTGCCAAGTCCCCCACATTTGCATGCCAAGCGTTTCTATGAGTGCTTGTCCTGCTCTGATACCATCTGTCATGGACTTAGTTGGTTTTCCTAAATCGTGTGGCACCCTTGCGTGTCTGTCTGCAAAGGTCAGCCTCCCCGAAACCTCCCATGGTCCCTTAGGACCTACAAAAGAGAAAATGGGTTATATAAAGCACCTCACTCGGGATCCACAAGCAAACATTTCAGAAAACACTTCATAGTCAATACAAATTACAAACGGACTTTACAAGCTCTGAATGGTTGCACAACAAAGGTCAAAATGGTCCACTACAGACCAAATATCTCTTACAAGTGTCCACATGACACAACCTTTATTTACAAGCTTACAACGGCCACCAAACCCAACTAAAATGGGGTTATTAAGCCTTCGACCATCCCTCTACATGCTGTGCGAAGCATGAACAAACCAAAGGACACGGACATACATAAATATTACATCAAATATCCTGTTTAGAATTTTGTCCGTGACAGTGCGGTGGCCTCTACTGGCCTGAACCATCAAGTTTCTTATGCTAGTATGTTCTGCTTTGTACATAGATCCTTTTGTATTTGGGTGTGTATTATATTAGCATAGTGAAAGCAATTTTCATGGCTGTTCCAACTAGTGATTGGATCTCACTTTTGCTTCTTTTTTTTTCTGCACTATTCATCTGGTTTTGCTGGAATTTCCTTAATCAACATTATATCTCTCATTATGCATTGGTTCAGGCCAGCATGCATGGTTAAGAATGAGACTGATGATCACATGAATTAGCACTCATGGCAGAAAGTAATGACATTTTATTTTATTACTGCAAAATTCTAGATATTGCATGGGTGACATTTTAACAAAAACTCAAGTACTTAATATACCTTGTGACTGTATAAATGTTGAGTTTGTCTTGGAACTGATTTATAGTGTGAACATGTTGCAGATTTATATGGGTTATCGATTGTGCCGCTACTTTATAGAGGAAACTGCAAAAGGACTGGTAAGCTACACATCTACCAACAATGAATTTTGTTACTTTAGATTAGTTTCTGTTCCAAACTTCAGTGTTACAAGTGTTATCATTTTGTTGCCCTTTCGCAGTCTGCAATCTATAATCCTTTCAGAAAATGGATGGATGTCTCTTCTCGTGGAGTTCCTTTAGGTGGCATGGGGTAGGACTTCTTCATTACCTCAGTTAAAAAAATTTCTGCTTAAGTTTAGAAAAGGTCTCTTTCATTGTTTGCTAAGCTTTCCTTTTCAACTTACATGAATTTGTCAACGACAGGCTCTCTTTACAATGTCAGTAAAGACAATAATACATGCCTAAATTCCATCAGGCAATTCATTCACTAACACTTTTGAGTTTGTTGCATCTAGACTAAAACAAATAGAACTGGATGCCTGTCAGATCCACATGTAACTGATAGATATCACCAATCAAAAACTGTCATTTGTTTACACATTGCACTATTGAATTAATATGTTTGGAGTTTAGTAGGATATTACTAAATTGATCTTGCATACCTTACATTGATCATGAACTCATGATAAAAGAAGTCCACAATTTCACTCTTTATTTTTCTTGTTTTTTTATTTTTCTGATAGCAATGTAGATAGTGCAATATAAACTTGTAACCAGTGTTAATTTTGTTTAAACAGTCATACAAAGTTGAGTCTTGAAAAGTACTTTGCAATGCTTATTGTTAATGTGACCCCAAAAAGAGATTTGAGTGGTAAGAGGCAGTCCTTATTTAAGTTCCTGAGCCAAATCTTTCTGTGTTTGATACCATAATGGATTTTGGATGTGTTTGCTTTCGTGCATCTTTCTGTGTTTGATACCATAATGGATTTTGGATGTGTTTGACAGATAGAAATTGTATTTTCAGAAATTTGAAATGTTTCATATCACTTCTCATGGTTAAAGCTTTCACCTTTCAGTGCTGGAAGTATAGGTAGAAGCTATAAAGGCTATTTTCAGTGCTGGCAACTATTCCCTGGACAATGTGAAGAGAATCCTGTGCTGGCCAATCAGTTCTCTGTAAGTTGAACAAATACTAAACTCATAATTGAATATCTTGTTCTCTTCTGTCTGCTTCCTGGTTTGATGCTGTCATAAACTTGTCCTGAAACGATAGCTTTTGGTTCTCTAACAAGCAATAGAACTTTTGTCTTTTGAGATGTCTATTTGGCTCTGTAAAGCATTTTAGTCTTTACAATCACCTCATTGATACTTTTGGCCATTATGTCTGTCTGTTTGTTCAGTTTTTATGTCCCATTCTGAATTTACTTCAGATACATAGTATTCAAAGAACATCTCTGTATTAGTGGAAGTTCTCTATTAATTCTCTTGTTATATGCCATTGTTTGTAAAAGCTGACTCCAGATGTCCTGATTTTTTCAGATAGATAAGCAGAATTGCATACAACTAACCTCTCTAATGTGATGACATTTGTTGATAGGTTTTCATTTCACGCTCTGATGGCAAGAAATATTCTACTGTATTATCTCCAAGACCAGAAATTCTCAAGTAAGAAATATTTGGCCTACCAAAATTAACTGATCTTGTTGTACATAATATATTTCTGGTTTTTTGATGATATTCTTGATTAGATGATACTATGATGGTTTCAGAAGTGTTGTATGACCGAGAATGCTTTTCATAACATGCAGAGGGAGTACTAGTCCTGGAATAGAATCTTGGGACTGGAATCTCAGTGGACAAAATGGCACCTACCATGCATTGTATCCAAGGTCCTGGACTGTTTACGATGGTAATCACTGCAAGTAGATATTGGAATAAATAAATAAACCAATGCTACAGGAGGCATGCTTCCCATTGGTCTTGTTTTCATTGTCTTTGTAGGTGAACCTGATCCGGACCTTAAAATTACATGCCGCCAGATTTCACCATTTATCCCACACAACTATCGAGAAAGCAGCTTCCCTGTTGCAGTTTTCACATTCACGGTAGGAAATTTTGAATACGAATCAGTATGCCATAAACTAAGATTCACCTTCAGTAGTGTATCTAATTATTTTAAGCTTCTTGATGGATTACCAGCTGATGAATTCGGGGAAGAGTTCTGCAGATGTAACTTTGCTTTTCACATGGGCTGTAAGTCAAATATCAACTAAATTTGATGCTCACAGATGTTCTTTCTAGTAACATCTATAAACATTTTTGTTTGCGTCAAAGTCCATCTCTGATGTGATGCTTAAGAATTTTAGCACTTAACTACGATCCAAGCTATCCAGCTTTCCTATCTTCAAATACCTTCTCTGGTACAAGGGCTTAACATCTGGTTATTCTTATCTTGCAGAATTCTGTAGGGGGTAAATCTGAGTTCTCTGGTAATCATTCAAATTCCAAAATGATGTGAGTCTATAGCTGGTGGATGTCTGTCTAGATTACGATTTGTTTGAATCTCTTTCTCTATCAATGTTACTTACATGAAAAATGTGAACCATTTTAATATGCTAGGGTACGGAATGGTGTGCATGGTGTGCTTCTACATCACAGGTATCCTCAGGTTTTGAACTCCAATAATTGTCTATAACTTCAATAGTATTTCAAATATCATGAGTCATGCTTTGGCTTATCTTATAACTTGCTCAAAACTATTTCGTTCTTTGCATTTCATTTTATTCATATTCTATGTTCTGAAGAAAGCACATAATGCAGAACTGCAAGTTGGCAGATACCAGTGACATTCGCCATAGCAGCTCAAGAGACAGATGAAGTTTGTGTCTCAGAATGTCCTTGCTTTCTGATATCTGGGAATTACAAGGGATTCACAGCGAGGGACATGTGGGATGAACTTAAAAAGGTTGGAAACTTTAGGAATTATACTTTTATTTGACTCTTGATTTCTTCCTGATGTTTCTTCGTTCCTTCTAAACCTTTCTCCTGCTGTTTCTAATTTGATTCCACTCTTACATATGTTCCCTTCCATATTTATCTACATGTGGCTCTTATGATGTTTCTAGATCTTCATTATCACCAAGGATATCTTTCCAAGGTTGTCTAGCAAATCTTTAGAAATCAATTTTAGTCGACTTGAGGAATCTTTTACTCAAAAGAGAAAGAATACTCCTTATTAATTTTAGTTCACTAGTTCACCATTTCCTGACTACCTCTATCAAACTCACACATATCAGATAAACAAAAGATGATACCCTAATTCTAATGTCTATATATTACTTAGGATTTTGTTTTCTTCTAACATTTTACATGACTGACTCTCTGTCATACTTTCTTATGTTGTTCAGTTATTCCTATAATTAATTTTTTAGCCTGTATTTACATTTTTGATGTATTCTGAAGCAAAACTTTATGCTTTTATTAGAAATTATCTTGTGTAATATTTTTATCTTTCTTTCTGTTTATGTATGTTTGTGATGTGCATAATGCTCATTGTTAATGCTGATTGAGTTAACTTAGTTGATATCAGTTGATGCTGAAGCTAGATGCAAACTAATGGTAATGTTACCTATTATATTTTAAAATTGAATAGTATGGATCCTTCTCCCGCCTTGACAACAATGGAACGACTCCACCATCAGAGCCAGGATCATCTATCGGAGCATCTGTGGCAGCCACAGTCACAGTACCTCCTGCAGCTACTCGTACAGTTACATTTTCTTTGGCATGGGCATGCCCCAAAGTAAAATTTCATAGTGGCAGGACTTATAACAGGTTAGTTGGACAATCCATAACTAGATGACTAAATACCTAACGAGTTTCCTAACGAGAATCTAATAACAGGAGATATACCAAGTTCCATGGGACTGATGCTGATACTGCCGCAGCAAATCTTGTTCATGATGCCATAACTAGTAAGTTTGAAATATGAGATGCTTGCGATGCAAAGGTGCCACATATGAGTTCATGTTGGTATATTGGGTCCCTGATAAAGTTTATGAACTCCTGCTCAAGTTTTTACTTTTGGAGACCAGCTAATAGAAGTTAATGACTACTGAACATCAACTGTATACATGAGTTCATGTTTCATATACATGCACCTTGCTACTGCTACTACTTTTGTGGAATTGGTGCTTGAAAGTTGTAAGTTAGGACTCTTTAAAATTAGATAAATGTGAATGCCTTATCTTAGTATTATCCAAATAGATTCATGCAGCATTAGGTCTGACAAAATAGACTCAGGAAGTGGTAGTCGGACACTTAGGAAAAAATTACTAATTAGCTTAATGTTTTTTGCCACTGATATGAAATCAGAACTTCTGCTATTGTCCCTTCTTTGTCTGATTCTCGCTTTCAGCAATTCAATTATACAATTGTGGCAATTTGTTTTTGGAAATTTTCTGACAGCTCTTCTAGCTTAGGTTCTGCAGTCTATTTCCCCATCAATTTATTAAAAAGAAAAAAGAGAATATAAACTCAAGCTTCATGAGAAGGAAAGCACAAAAGATCTGCAGTCTCTTCTATACATGCTATTCTAATACAGAAAAAAAAAATACCATCCATCACCACATCAACTATCTTAGAATTCATTTTATTTTAATATTGGATTTTCTTGTCTTCCATTTAACATTCTGTTCCCTTCCTAATTTTCATCTAGATTATTGCTACTGGGAGTCCCAGATTGAAGATTGGCAAAAACCTATTTTGGAGGACAGGAGGCTTCCTCCATGGTATATTCTAGACCCAAATGTTGACCATCTTGTTAGCTTACGAGAAGAAATATGAACTTTTTAGAACACTACTCAGGTACCCAGTCACCCTTTTTAATGAGCTCTACTATCTAAATGCGGGGGGAACAGTTTGGACAGGTAACTTGGATATCAAATTCTATATCCATTTTAAAATATGATTTGGACATGGTAAAGTTAATCATAACAAGAACTTCTACAGATGGATTGCCCTCAGTTGAGAGTTTGGCAAGTATTGAAGAAAGAAAATTCTCTCTTGATATATCCAATTTAGGTTGTAAAGAAATGAATGATGACATCCAAGTAAACAATGCTGCCGCGAATATCTTGACAAGCATGTCACTGATCAATAAGAAGTTACAGTCTCCTATCACATCACATTCCGCATTTGGTACATCATTGCTTCAGGAAGGAGAGGAAAACATTGGTCAGTTTCTTTATCTTGAAGGAATAGAGTATCATATGTGGAACACTTATGATGTCCATTTCTACTCATCCTTCGCCCTAATCATGCTGTTTCCCAAACTTGAACTCAGCATTCAGAGAGATTTTGCAGCAGCTGTACTGATGCATGATCCTGAAAAGATCCAAATGCTCACTGGAAAGCGGGTTCCAAGAAAGATTCTTGGTGCCATTCCTCATGATCTTGGACTAAATGACCCGTGGTATCAAGTAAATGCATATGTCCTTCATGATATCAATAGGTGGAAGGACTTGAATCCCAAGTTTGTTTTGCAAGTCTATAGAGATGTGGTTGCAACAGGCAATAGATCATTTGCAAAAGCTGTTTGGCCATCTGTCTACATTGCAATGGCCTATATGGATCAGTTTGACAATGATAAAGATGGGATGATAGAAAACGAAGGTTTCCCTGATCAGACTTATGACATGTGGTCAGTGGTTGGTGTAAGTGCATATAGTGGGGGCCTTTGGGTGGCTGCTTTGCAGGCTGCCTCTTCCATGGCACAACTGGTTGGAGATAAAGTTTCTGAGGATTATTTTTGGAACCGGTATCAGAAAGCAAAAATCGTATTTGAGCAACTATGGAATGGTTCCTATTTTAATTATGATAACAGTGGTGGCATATCAAGCACAACTATTTTGGCTGATCAGTTGGCTGGACAATGGTAAATTCTGATAAACTTGTTATACCCTTCTTTTTTTCACATTCAAAGTTCAGTAATTTCTAGTTTACAAGTAACATAAAAGAAAAAAAAATCTTAGAGGATGTTATTTAAGTTATTTCTCATTGTTAGTGAGCCTATTTATGGCCTCTAGTTTGAAATATATGTCAGAAATTAGATTGATTGTGATTTATTTGCAATTAGGTTCATCTTATATAGTTTAAAGTTCAGATAGAGCTTTATAGAAATAATTTAGGCAACTAAGGTATTAGAATAACATCGAAGAAAGATATTAATTTCTAACATGGTTCGTCGTGTCGAGCATACCAACACATAATACATGAGGGCGTACCGATGTACTACCCATACCAATCACCTATTGGATCAGTACATACCACCTGTACCGAGCGATACACCATGGTACGACGAACCTTGATTTTTGATATATATGGTTGAGTAACGCAAACGAAATAATCAACACAGTAAGATCCCTTGTTATTCCTTTATCTTAATAAAATGACTTTTTTTAAGGTTTCTAGGGTAAAAATAATCTGTAATACTGTCTTTCAGGTATGCTAGAGCATGCGGTCTTCAGCCAATTGTTGACGAGAAAAAGGCACAAAGTGTATTTGAAAAGATCTATAAATTAAATGTGTTGAAGGTGAAGGGAGGGAGGTGCGGAGCAGTTAATGGAATAAGACCAGATGGAACTATGGACACGTCGGCAATTCAGGCAAATGAAATATGGTCTGGAGTGACATATGCTGTTGCGGCTGCAATGATCCAAGAAGGCATGTCAGAAACGGCATTTAAGACAGCTGAAGGGATTCATGAAACCGCCTGGTCTCACGAAGGTCTCGGGTAAGTTTTATATGACTGTTTTAAGTTTATATAGCACTTATCCAGGTATTTCCAGTTTCTTTAAGTCCAAGAATTTTTCCAAGAAAGCAAAGCATACTCCAAAATCTTTCCCTATAACACCTGTAGTTCATCAAACAACATTTGGCTTGTATCAAATATAGGGCTCTGGTTGAGCTTAATCACTTTCTATAGGCCTTAGCATGTCCCATTATCAGGTCATTTAAGCTTGTGTCTTGTTTGTCTTTGAGAGAGAAATAAACACACCTAGACTAACTTAGCATGAAGAAGACATGTTTAATAGTTTAGTAAATAATTAAGTCCTTCTAACTTTCCTTCTCTTTTTATGAGCTTCCAATTATAGGAGACAACAAGCTCAGCCCAATCATATATTCATCCATGTGTTGCCTGATGGATAGGTTGTTTGGTTTTGCATGGCACTGACTAGTTTGCTGTGTTAGTTCTTCTAAATTATGTATCTGCTAACATCAGAGAAGGTTTTTTAACTAAATTGCATAAACACTTTCTCTTGACTTCATAGCATATGCTAAGAGTATGCCTCGAGTAGGAAATCGTGGGGTAGTGCAGCTTCAGGTTAACGAAAAATTGCTAATAACAACCACAACAAGTGAAAACCCTACTATTTGGGGATTAACAAATATTGCTAAAATTTCTTCTGATGGTTGATAGACTCATCATAGAGGACTAGTTATTTTATAGAATTACATAATGCTGCTCTCCAGCTTTGTCGATTGTGCCAATTAGAACAGGACAACAGAGTTACGTCAGAATATTTAGAAGATGTTATCCCTGAATTCTTGTACTTAAGAAGAATACTTGTTATTATGATATACATGTGCAAGTTCAGTAGCTCGACTGGAGAAATTTCTGCACTTTTGTGTGGTGGCATTTGGTAAACAGGGCCATCATAATCAGCATAATAACTTGCAGCAGTATTTGTCGATGTCAAGATTGGAAGCCTTTCTTTCCTTAATGACAATAATCTTAGTCTTTTCCTTAATGACAATAATCTTAGTCTTTGAAAATTCACCTCCGCAAGTTACCGTCACCCATTTTTATGATCAGAAGAAATGGTTTTCTACTTTATACTACATCATACACAAAATTTCCCCTTTTGCTCATGAAAAGAAAAAGAAATCATTGAAAGCTTTGTAGCATTACAAATCATGCACCTTTTGTCAAAAACCTCTGTTACTAATCTGGGAAAATGTTTGAACAGGTACTCGTTTCAGACCCCTGAAGCATGGACACCGAACGGTCAGTACCGGTCATTGCAATACATGCGCCCTCTAGCTATATGGGCAATGCAGTGGGCATTGTCTCCACCAAAGCTTCACAAGGAAGAGCTGGAAGCAGATTGGAAGGGAAAGGCTCAAATGCCCCATCTGGAATTCTCTCAGATTGCAAGCTTACTTAAGCTGCCAGAAGAGAAGGAATCTAAAAGCATCATTCGAGTCATCTTCGAGATTGCTCGTGAGAAGCTATCGAAACGATGATGAAGCATTTAGAAGCTTTACATACTATTCAAGTAATTCCTCCTGCAGAATTCCCATAAGAAAATAAATTGATGTTATACGATCAGAGCCTCATGTATCTCTACGGAATTTGCATTAGCAGAGGTGACTGCATGAAATCTTGTTGATAAGGGGGACATAGTTGGCGACTTGTTTTAAACATATTGTTTAGAACAATATGTTCTAAACGTATTGTTTCTCGTACTTCTGTGTGCTAAACTGAGAAAAGAAATGCCTACTGTTCTTACATCCCAAGACTGTCTTGGTGACTCGAACCTTTGATAGCAACCATCCTCTGTTTATTGTAGCTACAGTTGAATCATGGTATATAATCGGAATCTAGTTAAGCCATGGCCACGACGTTGTGGCCGGAGGAGGTGAGCAACTACTGAACCCGTCCACGGAGTTCATGGCAGGAAGAAGCTTGTCAGGGATTGTTGACAACTATACCAAAGTGATGCGATATCAAAGAATGAGTTGCTTAATCTCCCATTCACCACCGGCTGTAGAGATTCAGGTGAAATGTGCTGCTGCCCCACGAGCAGTTCGAAGGATGCAGAAGGAGGAGATTGATGGCAGAACCAGCAGAAGAATAGGTTGTAGTCGGATCAAGTCGAAGGTGCTGATAGCAAGGCACAGACATCAGATGTTGGTGTAAGAACAGATGAGATTGTATCCACTTATTCATGGCTTTTCATTCAATTTCATGAAAGGAGATAGGAAGACATGTCGAAGGCAAACTCATTCCCTGTGCTCATCTTTGCGAACTAAGATACCGTTCTTGGCGGCATACAAACTCGGTCCTGATGGATCCCTCGTCTCCATTTTAATGAACAACAAAGCAGAAGAGAAGACAAAGATTGTGGAACTGAAAAGAGACCCAACTGAATTAGCCAACACACACAAAACTTGTCTTTTCTATCACAGTATGCAAAATGATGCAAATGACTTGTCAATATAGAGCAATTTGAGATGAAAACCAGCACTAAAAAGGAAGAGGAAGTTGCAAACAACTTGAGTTAATATAGAGATGGTAGAGATTCTGGCACGCTGGGCATATGTCTACCATGGAACAAGGAGGAGGAAGAAGAAAGCAGCACGCGTGAAGATAGTGCCAAAACCATCCGAAGAGTATGCGCTCTATCTGTAGCTCAGATAGCAAATCAGTGAACAGTTTTGTTGCTATCTGCAGATCTGGTTGACATATCAATGGCTCTTGACTATTTGATCCACAGATAAGTTCTGAATATATTGGGCAGTTTTTGAAAATGAAAAAAACAAGTTGCATAATCGACCTGCATGCAAAATCATTACCTGCATATTCTGCCTTTTCAAAATTATTGCATTGTTTTGGAATTTTAGTTGCATCTAAAAGATGCCACTATGTAGGTGTTAAAAGTATATAAATTACATTCTGTATCAGGGGGCTGCCATTTACCGCGTGTTTGGGCCCAATAAATGGTTATCCTATTCGATATCTTTTACAGCATCCTGCAACATAAATTAACACAAAGCGAGTTAATGTCAATCGTCAATACATTTCCTTACAATTTAAGGTACAGAAGGCATAAGCAGAAATATACATGATTAGTTATCAATTTTTTATTGTAATTATAGTTCGTCCAAGGTAGTTCACACTCTACATCAGCATCAAGCTTTATTTTCATCAAAGATCTTGGAAGTGGCAACTCATCTTCCAATTAGTTTTGAATGAAGCATAAACTAGATGACCTTTTGTTAGAGCATTGTACTTCTTATATTCTGGTTATGTACTACTCATTGCCTCACATAAATTCCCAGGTATGAGAAGATGCCATTTACACTAATCATACCAGAGAACTGCCCAAAAAGATACTGATCCACAAGTGCGTGTAGATAGCAAAGAAGATAGTCACAGTACAGGACCAGTGCAAGACATGAAGATTCAGCTATGAACATTCTAATAAGAAGACAATAAAGTACTAACCAAAATTCATGTTTTCTGCAAATGTGTGATGCTTGTTGACAACTTCATACATGGAACTTAGGTAGCAATTGAACCAAAACTGATAAAGCAAAGAATGGAATACGTGGATTGCAAACCATTTTTAAGCATATATAATGTAAATTCCATGAATATGCTCAATGATTTACGAGCCCAGTGTTTTCTTTAATCACTAGACGATTGATATGACACTTATGTCAAATATCAAGATGATTCCTAATCTCCAGGACATTGGAGTGCTGCGCATATACTTAGAACAATGTTATGTGAATCCTCTATTTCATAAAAGAGATGAATCTCCAAGCTGTAAATGGATTCCAATAAGATTTAGAGCATATAGATAAAAATTATTTATGGCGAGAAGCAGACTAAGACTACACTCACTGAAAAGAAACAAGGAATGCAATTTGCCGTCATATTTTGTTTCAAAACATTTAACTGACTAGGTAGTACATAGTAAGGTCTAGGATATGGAGTTGTTACCTTTGCAAGACGAGTAACATAAGCTGCGGCAAGGGCTGTAAATAACAGCCCTATGCCAAGAGTCAGTAATTGACCATTTCCCCCTAACAACCCCACATCTGACTCCTCTTGCTGCAAAATGAGAAGTTAGATAAGCCATCTTCTTGGGAAGCATTAGGTGACATTGAAAAAATAAAAATCATTAATTGCCAAATGCAATTTGTTAATGTGAAACTTCCATTAGTATCATAGAAGAATATTCCTAGTCACAGCTTAAATAGCATGATCTTGAATTAACTATGTATTAAAAGAAGTTAAGTCACCATTGTGCTGTACCACAGGTATGCAAGTCTTGCACATTCAGAGAGCTAGAAGCCTGCTGCTCCAGGTAAGTGTACAACATGCAATTTTTACATGAACTTAGTAACAGGAATCTTGCAAAGTCAATGTTGTCCTGTACCACAAGTATAAAAACTATTTGTCTGGGCAAGAAGTCAATGTTGCCCTGTACCACAAGTGTGTACGACTTGCACATTCACAGAGTTAAAACTCTCCAACGAATGCACAACATGCATTTTCACATGTTAAAGGACAGGAACAGCTTCCCTTGTAGTCAAGCTGGATAAAAGACAATGGCACATTGGTAATAGACAACTGAAAAATGAGACTTTACAGGTTACGAAGTTCAATGGTGACAATTCAGCTAGATTGTTCATATTCAGTGCACATGCAAACAAGAATTATCATTTCACACCACCATGGCATGTTGATACCCCTTCGACCCTCTCACGACCCTATGCCAACCAATATAGGCAAAATTTTATTTTCGCAAATGTTCACGTGTGGTGACACATGTTGAGGATGGCACATCCACATCAAGCTGGAACATACTGATCAAAATATGACAACCTGTGCATGCAAACATATGAATGCTAATATTCCACATGACATAACCGTGAATTGTTGCTAGAAACCTTCTATATGAAAGTTCGAAAGTAAATAATAAGCCATCCTATCTCAGTCATATAATACAAATATCACTAGCAGACATGAGCATTATTTTGAAGAGTATCATATCCTATGAGCAACTATTAGAAGTCAGCATATAAATAAAACAATACTTTATAAAAGAACTTCTGGTAGATCCTGAAACATGATATAGGAAAGGGTATCTATGTAAAACCATAAACTTCACAAAGAAAGTTTGTAAATTCATGCAACATGGAAAAAACTCACAATTATGGCTCGCCCAAATGCACCAGCACTAACATAAGCCCAAGTCCCTGGTAGCATTCCTAACCAACTATAGAAAAGGAAAGATAGTTATTAAGTTGCTCAGTAAAAGAAAAAAATGTTTTGAAAACTCCTGCTTCCTAGTTATTAAAGCATAATACAGTTGGTACATCATGTTCAGCGAGCTTAGTTCATTCTGCAGTAAATACCACCTGGTGACACTTTTTGTGCTCACTTACAAGTGAACTTGTGTACACAAAAATATCACAGTTACAAGAATCCCAAAAAATTTTCGTTCAAAAGTAATTTGTCATCAACTAAGTTCAGGATTTCAACATACTTCTACTTCCTCTCTGATTAAGTTCTCATTTTGAACAATTCATAATATGTTGTGTCTACAGCTTATAGAAACACAGGGCAAAGTCCAGCATATGCAAGAACAAAACGAAGAAAGATGCACAACTGACCTTCCCAGCACATAAGGAACAAATTTCACCGATGTCAAGCCATATAAATAGTTCCCTAGAGAAAATGGAAGTAAAGGACTCAAACGAAGGAGTGTAACAACTCTAAAACCATTTTCTCCAATTGCCTTATCAATCGCCAAAAACTTCTTATTTCCTTCGACCAATTTAAGAATGCGCTCCCGTGCAAAATACCTAGCAATAAGAAAGGCTACAGCAGCAGCAACCTAGAAAATCAAGGAATTGATGGTGAGAAATTGCAGTTAATGATTCTATTTCAACAAATCACCATGAACAAAAATTATTGAAGTAAAGAAAATTACCGTCCCACTGATTGAGACAATGATGGTGCCAGTCAAGCTCCCAAATAGAAGTCCAGATGACATGGTTAAGGGGATTGCTGGAATTGCCAAAATCTACAACAAAAGTGATTCAGAGTAAGGATGAAAGAATAAGACGTCAAAGATTAGTACCAAAAAACCATATTGCCTTGTTCTCTGCTTCTAAAGTTCCCAAGAGAGTTTACACAATAATATCAAAAAAAGGGTACTAAGGTATACATCCAACAAGACCTATTTAGATAAAGGACTATCATCCTCAAAACTAGTCGAACAAGTAGTATTACTAGAATTGGTTCTGCTAGCTCAACACCTCAAAATCAGTCCTCACGGACTGAAGCTAAATTTCCAAGCTGACATAGTTAATGACTAGAAAGTAACTTTTCAAAACCAAAATAGACATTAAAGTTCCTGAAGGAGTTCAGAATCAATTTAGGTGTAAGAAGGGTGTGGCTTTTTTAACTATCATCCATCAAGTTTCATTAATGACTAGAAAGTAACTCTTTAAAACCAAAAAAGACATTAAAGTTCCTGAAGGAGTTCAGATGCAATTTAGGTGTAAGAAGGGAGTGGCTTTTCTGATTATTATCCATCAAGGTTCATTATTAGAACCTGTTCTGCTATGTCAACACCTGATATCAGCCCTCCTAGATTAAAGCTAAATTTCCTAGCTGAAATAGAAAAGGAAGATGGGATAAAAATGACATTGATAAACATAGTTAGCGACTGAGAAATAATTATTCAAAACCAAAATGGAGACTAAAAGTTCTTCACAGAGTTCCAAGTCAATTTAGGTCTAGGAACATACGGATTTAGTTTTGCCTGTGTAAGTGATTTTTTTCTGAGAAAAAATCAGGAGTTAATCTCACCTCGAGTCCAGCATAAACAAGAACAAATAAAGCATATCCAGCAGGCCCATAACCTGGTTACACAAACCATCAGAAATGTTTCAACATTTGTAAGCAAGAATCCACAATTATGCTCTCTGAAACAAATCTTGAATGGCTAATATATCAGGAAGTACCAGATACTGCAGTATGATATTTCTAAAACAGGTTCAAAATGTAGAAGCATATTCAGCAAGAACAAATATACACATATATATGTAGAAAATGTTCAAATGGTTCTAAAAGAAACAGCATGGAAGTGCTTAGTTGCAACTCAAAACACTTCACAAACAGATGAAAAAAAAAGCAAGTTGCAGAAAATGTTGGGTGAAAAAGAAAAATCACATGAAGCACACATTTCTACCTCTGGTATCACATAAATTTATACTAAAATTCTAGTGGTGGCTATCATCGGTGTTGCAGAGTCAGACCAAAGGCTTGATAAATTCAGCAGACCTAGCAAAAAGCACCTCATGAATGAAATGATAACCTAATATACGCAACATTTTTTTCCTAATATTGCAGCAAAGGGGCTTTATAGATAAGATGCTACACACAAGCCATGTTTCTTCTGCATTACTTATGTCGCTAGATTGCATTAGATTGTCACAGTGCCCTGTACATTTGGCCATATTTAACCCAAGAAACATGAGTCTTTTGTTAGATGTGCATAGTGTACATATAAGGCCTTGGCTTCTTGAACAAGAATTGGTAAAGAATGAGCTGCACAATATTGACCTACAGATCACCACTATACAAATCCCAACAATATTATTCCCAGAGCAATTGGACTTGTAAAAAACTTTGGCATTTTGATTTCTTGAAATTTGTTTACCAAGTCAACCTAGTAGCAGATAGTAGATATAGCATACGATCCAGAGCAAGTAGTACTTGAGCAAGCTTGAACCGAGAATTCAGAAGATCATATCCAACGGTTCACTAATAAATAACACCTTTCGAAATGAACAGCAGAGACGAACCAAATTCCACAGAACCACATGGATCCAATCAAATTCACCAAAGAAAAAGAGGGAAAGAACATACCATCGATGAAACCGGAGAACTGAGTAAGGAAAGCATTAATCTGATCTCTGTACAGGTATCCCACGGTCCCGAACCCCCCGACGACTCCAACCAAGAGAAGCCCGGCGAGGACGGTCCCCTTCAGGGCGGCGTCGCCGCCAACCTCCCCCTCGCCATCATCCGAGAGGCTTCCGTCGTCCCTCCCCTTCCGGTTATCGAATCTGAGGTTCTGGGGGACATTGGTGGCCTTCCGGAGCGCGACCTTCTTGGACTCCTTGAGCGAGGAGAGGGGCCGAAAGGAAGGGATGCGGCGCGGCCTGATACTCGAGAGGGAGAAGAAAGAAGAGGAGGAGGAGAAGTGAGGAGAGAGGAGAGGAGAGGGGGCGGGGAAGGAGGAGAGGCATGGCCTCGTAGAGAGCATTGTTTAGATGCTGGGGATTGCCATATAGCAAAGAGAGGAGGAGAAGGTGAGAGTAGCTTTATTTTTGAAGCCTTTTTTTTTTCTCTCTCTTTTTTTATATTTGCTGTTTGTTTGGGTGATAAGGGAGGCTTTGGAATCGGAGATCATGGTTCGTCCACCTGGCACCGTCTTGATCGACACGTTGGTGGGAGACCCGTGTGTGGTTATTTTGTGACTGATTCATTCGTTTTGATGGCGAAGTCTACTGGTACTGAACCCAACTGCTCCCTTTTGACCCCCAATCAAAATATAATTAATGTTTATTGTTTTATCTTATATTTCGGTGATTGAATCAAAATTTCTCTTCAGTTTTTATGAAGTTGAGTCACTAAAATTTCTTATCATTGGTTCCTCCATTGCCTCACAGGGTTGACGTGTGAGTCCCACTAAAATTTCTTTTTTTTTTCGAAAATAAAAAAAATACATATTAATGGATATTCTCTTTAAAAAGAAGAAAAGGCAACGTAATTTGTTATTTTTTATAAAACATATATATCATTTAAACTTTTAACAGATTTATCAATTTTTTTTTTGGTGTAAAAATATATAGATTTTTGATACCATTATCAAATGTTTAAGATGAAAAAAAAAATTAACCCATGGATTTATTTCTTGCGATAGGAAGGAGAGGTGTACTGAGATAATTTCTTACATCTCACCCGTGAATATGTCATAGTGACATGAATATTAGTGGATTCTGTCAGAAACAAAGAGTCGCGCCACGGACATGAGGCTTCTAAAATATTCACCTTAAGGGTTGCATGTGACGGCATCAATAATTGCTAGATTTTTCAGAAGATAAATATAGTGCTGATTTGGAACTAATCATGATGGTTGAAATTGGCCAAATTGGGCATTGTTATTTTCATGTGGACCATGTACCTGAAAGGGATGGTCCTGTGAGAACAGTAGAATGAACCAGAAGAGGCTTGAGAGATTACAATGGAGAAGGTAGCAATGGCCACACAATACCTACTTAACTTGAGGACCGCTTCTTCCCCACTTTGAGGAATCAAGATCTTCTCTGTTTGGTGAAGTAAACCATAAGCACAAGTTGGAGCCTATAGCTACCCAAACCATTCATACACGGGAGAAGAAATGGTCATTTGACTTTCCTGATAAAAATCCCACCAAATTTTATGAACAAAGAAAACAAAAAAACTCACCCAACATAAATTCATGAAGATAACAAGTTGGCTGACTCCCAAAAATTTATGGATGTATTGTCCGGGTAGCTTGTGGCTCATTAATAGAGGTCCATCACTGTTCAAACGGGATAGGTTTATCCAAGAGTAAATTTGTGTGATCCACAGGCCATGTAAGATTCATCTACATAAGATGTATATATCATCCATTTAACACCATGTGAAATTGATGATGCACATTTCTACCAAGTTCAGCTCAGTTTGAGGGGTTACCTTGGCTCAATCAATCATGCAAATCCTTGTAAATCTTCATTTACATCTCAAACAAACATCATACTCCAATAGTTCATCATAACAGAATCCATTGAGTTGCAGCATGATGCAGCCGAGGGATTGGTTCAGTTTGTAGGAACCTCTTCAGAGTTCATGGCATTTTGTCTCCTATTACCCAAGGTTATCAACTTAAGATTCCATCCCTGCATATTAAGTGCTAGCTTATGAAACTGACTACACAGGTTAGCATGCAATTCTTGTCGAGAAAGTTGAATAGGAGACTTAAGAGCTTTGATCACAAAATCTGCTGCAAGACTGATCTGCAAAGTGAAATATGAAATATAAGTTCACAAAGATCATCTATAGTAAATGAAGGTGGTAAAAGAAAACCATGTACAAACTTTAGTCTTTCAGTGTAGGTTTATGGTCTTGTTTTCTGCTTTGTTCAGCAATATTGTCACACAGTACATTTTGCAAAAACATGAACCGAACCATGCAATGAATGTCAAGAGACATGCATTATTGGGAAACCATATTCTGATAGTGAACTCCAGAGGCTTTAATTTTCAAACAGATAAATGTCTTATATCTATTAAATATGTCATGCTACAATAGTACATAATCATTACTCTAGTCGTCACTTATGTGTCTGATAATTTAGAAGCTCAGAGTATTCATAACATAGATAGCAAGCATGGTTCAGAACTCAGACCAATAATGGACAAGCCAAATGATTACCTGATATAACACAATTAGAAGCTCAGAATATTCATAATATAGAGAGCAAGCATAGTTCAGAAATCATACCAATAATGGACAATACAAGGGGAACTTCATGTCACTCTTTGAAACAATGAGTCAGCAAATTCACAACAATCCATCACTTATACAACAGGAGAAAACAACAGCCCTCTTAGGAACAACAGTTCCACTATGCCCCATCAGAGAAAATGTTATATCAATGTGCTTTCGAATAACATAGGGATTTCATCCATTATCGAGTCAATTCCTTCTTTACACTAACGGTAATTTAGCTGACCATGGTGTTCTGTTAATCCCAATTATAATCAATTATGATGGTCTGCCAGAAAGGTGAACATTTGATTTGTATAAATAAAACAGTATTAAGAAGTTGGTATGTACTTCATAATTAAAACCACATAAACAATGATAGAGTAGAAAGCAATATTCAATAAAACTAATCACATAAAAGTAGTCATTTCACTTCTTATTCAGGATAAGATTTAAATCATGATGAAGTTAAATTGAACACAGAAATTCTGTCTTTGGCTTTGATATGGATGACATCAGTAACAGATGGATGCAGTTTATCAAGTAAATTTTCAGGCATAGATACTGATGTAGTTCGAGGAATTTATCACATGGTTATTACTTTTTTTTGTATCAGATGGAGGCAGTTAGCAAGTAGATTATCAGACCTAGATTCTGGTGTACCTCAAGGGCATCTTCGGCACCTGTGCCAGACCCACATTCATTTCCCAAGGACTCAAATAATCACTGGCCAACTTGCATATGTGGTTACAAGAGAGAGCTATCTCAAGACAATTTAGATGTGGCAGAAAAAATCATGTGCCTCTATCTACTTAAAAAAAATTAAATGTAACTTCCAAGATACACAGCCTAGAAATGCAAAACATCTTCCTTAGATACATCCTTCTGATCTGAAAGCTATATTTTATATACCCTTCTGTTGTCTACACAGCAAAGCAGATTAAAAGAGCAAGATGTTGCTTCCTTGGACTTTTCAATATAGAAACATAGGTGGATGAAGCACATCAAGCAAACTAGCCCTCCATCACTAAGGAAGAAAATGTATTCATAAGAATGCAATACTGGCCGATAGAAATGTTATCATCATTGTCTACCCACTTGTGACATTATGGTACTAGTGGCATATGTCCAAAATAGTCATAGTGCTACAGAAATGGCAATGAGGTCGATCATTGTGAGCTCAGGAAAAGATATAGAAAGAGAAGGAATCATTTTGTGAAATAGAATTTTTTTTATAAAATAAAAAAGATAATCATATTTACCAGGAAAATAGAGGGAAGAAATTGTAGCAAACCAAATTAATTATATATTAAAGTGGCCATGAGGTTCATCTTTGTCAGCTTAACAAAACAGAAGACAAAAAATCACCAAAATGGAGGAGCAACAGTATGCATGAAGAAGAAGAATAGCCTTGTCAAGCAAACAAAGGGGGAAAAACTACATTACTGTGAACCTAGTACCGACGAGATTACAAGTATACCTATATCACATCAACAATTGGATTTTGTTATAGCAAGATAAGCCCTGTATAAGTTCACCGAGACAGCCTAATATGCTGTAGAATTTGACACATATGTGAACCAAAAAAAGAACTACCATATGACTCCAAAACTTAATAATGAAGAAATAAGCCTAAAAAAGAAATGAATTTCTATTCTATAATAAGCAAGTTAAGCTAAAATGATATCTTAGGAGTTCTAAAACATAGTTTATTAGGACAAGAACTGCATAAGTTAACATTATGAAAGAACAAGGACTTTGACCAACATTAACCACTTATGAAATTTAATGTGAAGCTCATACTTCAAAGAGGTGACAATCTAGAGGCAATATTCTAGATAAATAATTTACCATAACACACAAACATAGAAATAAAGATAGTCCAGGCAGCCAAACACCATATTTTTAGCTTAACATAAGTACCATGCATATGTATTGTATATAACATCGTTATATCTGTATTTTAGCTTCATATAAGTAATTAAAGGAAAAGATTGTATATATCTAAGTTCTAACAATGTAATAGCTAGGAACCAGGCCTTTTATATAAAACCATAGACTAAGTGTGAGTTTTACAACACATAGCAACACATAAATCAACCTAATTTACATGGCAGGAAAATCAAATCAGCATCTTTTCAAAAGCACAAGATTTGTAAGCAAACTCAGTCCAATCAATTAGCTGCCTGTATTTATTCACTAGGATGACTGTAGTGAGAATATTCCATGTGCTCAACTCCTTAATATTGGCCATTGACTATCCAAATTAAAAATGAGATTGTAAATACTAGTGTTCCTTGCACTAGAAAAAGAAGCTTCCACAAGTAATTAATTGATCATGGTTATCTGGACTCAGAGTTACAAGGGCTATGATGATATTTGCTTGATTCCTGAACATTAAGCATTTTTATTGTCAAAAAAATCTGAAATTGCAAATGCTTGTGCTCTTGCACAATTGTCTAGTTTTCTCCAGAAAAGAAAGAAGCTTCCACAAAATATTAGTTGATTGTGGTCAACAACAATGATAAGCATATCGCTTGTACTAAATGCCTGATAAGCTATTATAAACTATACTAAAGACAATATTGCAAATTCTAATGTTTCTTGCACTTTCCTATGCGCTACTACGCACGAGAATGCTTGTAGAACTGGTATAAATCTATTATCATTAACTAAATCCAAAGTGTTCAATTCTACAGCAGACTGCAACTTTAAAAATAAATACAAAGAATACTTTTTTATGTGATTCATACCGACAACGATGCGACATTCAGCATTGACTTCGCGATCGGCAAAATGCAAAACCTGAATTTAAAAAAAAACAATCATAGGAGATAAATTACAGGGTAAAGAAGCGATAACACTCCTAGTATCAGAAACAGCGGCAAGAAGAGCATACATTCCTCGACCACCAGCTAAAGCTTCTTCTGAAGGATCCTTCCACTCATCGAAGCTGTAAAATAGGAAAAATTCATGAAATCCGTACATCCACGAGACCAATCTTGACACGATCATGGATTCTTGAAGTGTCGAGAAAGGAAACCCTAGTCTAGAAATTGGCATAAGAAAAGCTGAAGGGGAGCAGTACACCCAACCGTAGCGCCTGTCGAACAACAGGCGTTTCGTAGGCCGCCGAGTCGGCAACGGTGGCCTGGTGGACGGCCCCGAGGATGTCGTCTCCATTATCGCTTCGTCCAGCACGATAACAGAACCATAAGAACGACAGATACGGCCTTATTCCGTCGGGCTTCAAGTGCTGTTATCACCACGTGACTATGCACGTGATTAAGCGTCGGAGATGACGTGAAACATTATAATTTGGTAATTTACATTTTTCACCAGTGTTGTCGGGTCGGATCCATATCGGATGCGGATGTAGACGGAATCAGCGGATCTCTTACTCCTAGGAACAACTTCATAGTTTCATGAGGCCACTATAAAAGATCAATAATATATTATAAGTGTGGTTTAATCGTCGAAAATTATAATTAAAAATTATAATTTTCAATTATAATGACGCGATTGTCATTGCTATCCTCCAACTATTTGTTGGGCTGACAACTCATATTTAACCCAATATGGATTTTATCAGCCCACAGTCCACACCTCCTCTTAACCTAATCCTATATCAATATAAGGGAGGTGTGGTGGCTGCGTTTTGGCGTAAAGGTGGTTGTGTTTTTTTGGCAGAAAAAGACAACAAAATAAGAGAAAGAAAGAAAAGAAAACAAAGACAAAGCAAAGAGATTGTTCTCAATCATCTAACAGCGTTCTCATCTCAAGTTAGATCAAATCTACAGTAGACTCTTGTTGTGATTACTTGGGAAGGTTTTAGATATTGTGGACAGTAGCGTGATCATTGTATCCAATTATTCTCTTGTGATTATTGCTAGGGTTTAGGGCAAGAGATTAAGATTTGTATATTCATTATTCTCATAATGGATTATCTCTAATTTACTTTGTGGTTTTTACCCTTCACATTAGAGAAGATTTTTACATATATCTTAGTATTTATTTGATTATGATTTCATTTAATTCTGTTGTGGCTTGCTAATATTTATTTATATACAAAAGTTATTTCTCTTTCTATCCCATCATCATTGACACGAGGTTATCAATTTGGAGGCGTGGAATGTGTACACTTGCGGTGTGAGCTTCCTTCTTCGATGCCTCCCATTCTTTCTTCTTGATTTTGAAAGCCACTATCACACGTAACATAACAAAAGTAAAAGAGTTTCTCACAGGCATCGATAGCTGCGATGAAGATGTTCGACAAAGGTTGATGATGCCCATTCATGGATACTATAATTACTATCGATTCCATGCTGCCTCCTGCATTATCGTGACCTCTCCACTGCCACAAGCTTTGATGCAAATCCATCCACGTAACTTAATGGTCCATTGATCTCATCAAACAATCGACCTTTTTTGTGTGTGTTTCGTCACTCATGATAACATCGAATGCTGCACCTTCTCATCTTTTGGCTGCCATGGCATGATACCGAGTCGAGCTGGCGACGAGTCAACAAGGGTGACTCTTCTCGCCTTCTCGGCTGTAACCCAATTCCACAACGCCGGTCTGCGAGGGGACGCACTCGAGAGCAAATCTCCAATCGTAAGCTGAGAGGTCGCCGTCGTTATATGGGACCCGCAATTAGTGACCAATGGATGACGGCCTTTTAACGTTTGGTGCCTCTGTCGGTACTGCAGCCGCGCCCGCCATGTTCTGTGGCCGCTGTCGACGGATCGTGGGATCCTTCGATCCCCACATCATGACCGTTCGTTGGTAGCAGTCTCACGTATGATTCCATGCGGCGCTGTCGAGTGGAGAGACCATATGTAGTCATTGAGATCCGTGCAGGACGGTGATGGTTGGCTCTCCTGCAGCTGACGGCTTTCCCTTGGCCTCCACATGACCGTCTTCTCGCCCCTCGCATCAAATCGAGCGTTTGTCGACGCTTTATTCCTTCGAAACCGACGAAGCACGCGCAAGAAAAAGATAACGTCCGTGTCTTCCCATCCCCGATGCGCTTTTGTCCCCTCGCCCGATCGCACGCCTAGGTTAAGAGCTTCTCTCCTCCGTCGCTCTCCCTATCCTTCGACCAGGCCGCCATGGAAGAACACTCTGACTTCCGCGACTGGGAGATGCTCCTCGCCTCTGAGGCGGGAGAGGATATTAAGCCCTTACAAGCGTCGTCGGAGGACTCCGAAGACGGCGCCATCAAGTCTGATTACTTTACTCTCGACTCCCAGATACGGTATCAGAAAGGTGCTTCCTTTGCCCTTGAGGGGGAGGAGGAGGAGGAGCAGGTCGATTCCGATAACCCTAGCTGGATCGACCCAGAATCTGACTCCAGGTATCTCGATCGGCCAAAGGGGGAGGTGGATTTTCCCGTGATCGAGTTCCGTCGCAAGGATTTGGGCGGGTTTTGGTCGGATGAGTCGTCGGACGGGCAAAGGTCACTTTTTGGTAGCGAAAAGGAGGAATTTAGCGCCGGAGGTTTGGAGACTGGAGAGAGGGCCGATGGAGAAGAGGATGTGAAAGCAGTGGGTCCCGAGGGGATTGTTGGGATCGAAGGGACAGAGATGGGAGCTGAAATTCCTGACGAAGTGGGATCCGATGAACGTGCGAAGCCTGATGAGTGCCACAGTTCTCCAGTTGAAATGGGCGCTAAGAACATTCGGTCGGAGAACGTTTTGAATGGGGGACGAGAGAAGAAAGGGATGGTTTGGTGGAAGTTTCCATTTGAGATTCTAAAGTTTTGTGCTTTCAAGGTGAAGCCAGTTTGGTGTATCTCCATTGCTGCGGCGATCTTGGGGGTTTTCATGCTCCGAAAAAGATTGTATCGGATGAAACAAAAGACTATAAGTATTCCTCTCAAGGTCAGCCTGGATGAAAAGGTAAAGTTTTTGGTATCTATTTCCTTGCTTAGTCAATGGCTATTTATTTAGTTATTTACTTCTTGAGCAGGTTCCTTGCTTAGTTAATCTATCTCTTGCATATTATTTTTTGTTGGGGAGAAAAAATTTTTACTTGAAGCAATCAGTTTTGTCGTTCTTTCGAGTTTTTTGCTATCCAGCTGTCCAAATAAGCATCTAAAGGCACATTCTTAACTATCTGTTGCAATGTTGTCCTTTATGGAAGTACTAGAGCTATCCTAATTAAAATAATACTTGTCTAAATCTTAAGGTTTTGATGGTATATATTTGTTTTTGCCATGTTCATTTTTATACTCCAATTCATTACTTGATAACATTGGTCTTTGCAACCTAAATATTTATGTGCATTCTGAACAAAATTGTTAGCAGCAACATGTGATCAAATTACTAATAGCTGCATACTATCTTAGTTTTTAACTAGTTTGTGAGGTAGTATTCTGTTGATTATGCTTTAAAGTGAAAGAAACTTGTCGATATATAGAGGTCAGCCTGGATAACAGCTGATTTCTTTTGTTGCTTTTGCTTCCTTGCATATTTTTATCATCATCAGTATTATTGTTTGCACTAGGCATCTTGTTCAATTAATGCTGTATTTTCCCTTGAACACTAATTTTTGTCAAGGAGATAATTTGGGAGCTTCGACCCTTTTTTAATTTTCTATCTCAACCCCACTCAAAGATGGGGAACTGGCATGTAGGTTGATATTTGCTTGTCCTAATAAGCATATGAAGGTATGAAGGCACATGTTAACTATTTGATGCAAGCTTGTCCTCCTACAAGTCATTTCAACCATCCTTCATCTGTTCACAGTGATTTAAAATCCATTAGGAGCCAAAAGGTGTCGAGGTCCCAAAATACCCAAGGCGCTAGGTGCTTGCCCAAGCGAAATGACTAACTCTGAAATCTTAAAATGTAAAAATGTATAATATAATTGATAAATATGATTATATAAATAAAAATACGACATTAAATGAAAAAGATTTAAAGTATCAAGTCATATTATCTATCTTCTAATAACAAAAATGTCAAAAGACTCAAAACAATAAATTTTTAAACCAAATTTAATCATCATCATAATCAACATCATTAGTCTCAAACGTATCATCATCTTTCTCTTTCTCTCTTCGATCTTCATTAAAATATGTTTTCTCCTCTTCGACAATATCAGGAGATGAACTTGATGCTTTTGCACTCATTTTGTCTTCGTCATTTGTCTTGTATATGTCTTTAATTCTCCGATACCAGAGGCTCTTGCCACATCTCTCTGTGTCAAGCTGTTATCTTCAAATACAAACTCATCTTCGGCATCTTACATGTTCGCACCCTTTTCCCCCACCAACCACTCATTTGAATCATCAATATCTTATAATGAGATTAGATTAATGTTATTTCGTAAATCATGACGAGTTTTCAATGCTTGATTACATTTTATATAAACCAGATCATGTAACTATTGATGTTGTAATTGATTTTTCTCTTTGTGTGAATTTGTCATATCGTTTAATTTAAAAATATATTAATGCATGTATCTAAAAAAAATAGATTAATTGAAACAAAAATATTTTGTCATCCTTACATGCTCAAAGACACTCTAATTTTGCTCACATCCTGTAGCACTACAAGTCAAACTAAGAATTTTGATAGTCAATTGTTATAAGTTCGGAGTGAAATTTTCAAATAGACTCCACCATTTAGCTAGAAAATTTACTTTATTATTAACAATAACATACTATACATAAAATTAATTATTTAAATTTATAAATACCTACGGATGTAGTTGTCCTAGATCGAACTACCACTAAAATTTCAAAAAGACCATTAACATTCTTATATAATGATAATTCACGTATGATCTTATCTTGCACATCAAGGCTTAGAACCAATCTTGCACTGCACTTATATAACCCATTTACAACTATTGCATTAAACTCAATTGAGGTGTTCTTATAAAAGAATTATGGGTTCAAATAATATCCTACTGCATTTAATGGACGGTGAAGTTGATAATTCCATATTTCATCAATGATTCCAAATATTTTCTTATACTATTCTTCATTTTCATCAAAAGACTTTTTAATTATCTCTTTTGCTTTATCCATAGCCTCATAAATATATCTCATTACAGATTTCTTTTTATTATTTGACAATTGAAGGACGCGAACAAGAGGGCTCATTACCTTTAATGTGTAAACTATAAGGATTTAAAAGAACCGGATTAAGATAATATCATCTACCCTCTTGTCTTTCGCTTCTTTTGCCTATTTGCTTATCACTCATTTCTCCGAGGTAAACATATTTCTCAAGTTATGTTTTTGACGATACACGCTTTGTAATGTCAAGGAGGTAATAAATCAGGTGACACCATATCTCACTAATTCTTTGTTACATATGAATTCTCTCATCATATTTAATGCTCTAGTATGATTATAAAGAAATCCAATGACAAATATTGTCCTTTCTAAAGTTTCTTGATGTCAGAAATCTTTCTAATATCCTCCAACATTAAATCAGTGCAATGTGTTGCACATTAAGTCCAATATAAGTGTTGTCTTTTTATTTCAAATAATTTACCCAAGATAAAATATAACAAAATTGTTAAGACTTAGGAGTCACATAGTTCTTTCATATAAATTAGAGACATAAAGTAATTCAAAAATTCAAAAGATAAATCTTACCAGCTAACACATAATTGTTTCCATTGTCGATTATAACTTGGACGATATTTTATTCATCAATTTCTTCCACAAACTTATTATCAAGCAACTCATATATCTTTTCTCTAGATTTCATAAAGGATGATGCATCTATTGACTTTACAAACATAGTTCCTAAAGGATAATTGACCACAAAATTAATTATACTTCTACGTCTCCTATCGTTTCAAGCATATGATATAATAAAGTAATAATGCTTTACCCATGATTCTTTGTGACCCTTTAATAAGTCATTTGTATAATCCAACTCTTTTTTTAGTAATAAAACTCGTAATTCGTAATAATTTGAAGGTTTTAATCCTCCACCATATCTTCCAATAGCTTCAATTATCTCTTTAAAATTATCTAAATTATAAGTACTAAAAGGAAGGCCAACCTGATAGAAGAAGCGAGCAATGTGTTGAATTGTTTTTTCCTATATTTTCTTATCACAAACATCACTTATATTTGTTTGTCCTAATTTTGCTTTTACTTGCACTTGTTGCTTTTGTGATCCTTAATATAATATATAAGTTCATCGGTCCCTTTTTATCCTTCTTAACAATCATGGCTTTTTTTTCTTTTCTGTCATATATTCTTTTCTTATTTGGATTGACACTTTCTGAATAATCTTCTTCTTCATCATATCTAATATGTTCAACATTATCTTCAGGTAAAATTTCATAATATTCATTCTTTTATATCTTTTTTTTAGTCATATAAGTTAGCAATTTTTCTTTTACATCAAGTGGACATTTCTTGCATGTTGATGTATTCTTGAAGTTCCCTACTTAATGCTGTTTTGTACGGAAAATATCATCTATGGTAGTCTTATCACAAAAGATGCAAGTAATTGCATTAGGACCTTTAGGATCCTTTAGATAATTGTATTTTCAAATAGAATCATTTCTTGAATTTTTTTATGAATCTTCTGAATTGCTTTGTACACTTGTCATTAATCTTGAAACCCTAATAATAGTTTTAAATAAATAGAGATTAGCAATGTTAAAATCTAAGTAGGGACTATTATATGATAATAGTAGTTAATAATCTATTGTTAACAGTAGACTATTATATGATAATAGTAGTTAACAATTTATTGTTAACAGTAAATTGTCTACTGTTAACAGTAATTAGAGGGGGAGAAAAGAGTCACCAACAGTAAAAAGTAGGGAAGGAGAGGGCAACGGTAATGAAGGAACTTTCGGACGATGATGACGATGGCGAAGGAAGCTGCAAATGGCAATAGCAATGGCGGAGGAAGCTTCGGATAACAACAGCAGCAGAGGAAGCTTCGGACGACAGTAGCGGCGGTAGAGGAAGCTACGAACCGTAGTAGCAGCGGAAGCTGCGAACGACAACATTTGGGCAAAGGAAGCTTCAGAGGTGTTCGTCAATGGCAAAGGAAGTTGCAGTCCTCTCCCTCGTTGGTGGAAGAAGCTGCACACCAAAGCAACGGCGACGGAGGGAACTACGCACGAAAGCTAGGTCATCGAACCCATCCATCAGTGACAGGGGAAGCGTCAATCTTGTGTGTTGGCAGGGAGGCAGTGGCAGATGAAGCGTCGACAGTGGAGGTAGCAACTGCACTTGGGTTTATGGCTCAGGGTCGCGTGAGGGGAGCGGGGTTGGGGGAGTATGTAGCTTAGTTGGTTTAATCGAACCAACTAGCTACTGTTCAATCGAACCTGACTTAAAAGTCTGGTTCGGTTGCTTCGTTTGAACCGAGCGCTCACCCAAGGTGCCCGGGTTCAGGCAAGCGCCCAGGCAATGCTTCACTAAAGCGCATCGCTTGGTCAAGGCGTGTGGTGCTCGTGCCTCGCCTCGCCTCGCCTCACCTCACCCACACGCTTAGGCGAGCGCTCGGACACCTATTTAAACCCTTGCTTGTTCATGTTCATATTTTGGAGTTTGCCTCCTATCTTCACTTGCTTTAACATTTTATAATTATTGTTTGCATTTATGTTTGTGACTTGATATTTCTGTGCATTGTGAACAGATATACTGATGGTCTTAATTGTATTGTATGAGTAATTACACCAACATGATATTTCATATAATATTGGATTCTATTGGTTATAGCATAGAAACTTAGTTTGTAAGGTCATACTCCCTTGTTAATGGACCTTGAATGAATGAAAATGATTCAATCTATCAACAAGATAAAGAAAGTTAGATTATGTTTCACACACTCAACTTTAGATCTACCATTCTCTAGTCACGTTCTTACTTGGTCACTTGCTACTTAATTGTAGTTAGTGTGCAAATGCTGAACTCTGTGGCAATGTTTTGTTAAATGCTGAACTCTACCAAATACAAAGTTGAGAGTGAACAAAGTTGAAATATGGTTAAAAACACAGTTCTCGGTGTTCCTGTCTTTCAGATTGCAATACACAAACAACTAGGCATCCTAGGTGATGATCTTATGTGTCCTTCTTGGTTACAACATGATAGTTAGCTTTTTGTAGTTGCCAAAATTTGTGGTTTGCATGTATGCCAAGGAAGGTGCTATGTTGAACTAGTTACTTACTACACATAGCGATCCCACTATCCTTTGGTAACTCGAAGTGTGAAGCTACATTTTTGCTTTCCTGAAGGTTTCTTGTTGCTGTATCTTCCTAGTTGGGAATTTGAGCCAACACTTTGGAATTTACTCCATCCAACTGATCTATTGAGTTTCTATGCTATGGTTGCATCAAGTTAATACAACTAAAGATGACCTGCTAAATTCGGCATTTGGTGTTATCTCTATTAAGTTCATTGATGTGCCTCAATCGTAAATGAACATGAAACACAACCTTGAGCTAAATCAGTTGGAGTTTTGAATATTAGTGTTTGGTTAATTTTATCTTTGGTTACCCAAGTCATTCTTGCTTTGCAACTTACTTTCTCCTGGGAAATTACTAGCATGCTTTGTGTTGCTCAACTGTTAGTCTGCTCCTTATCTGGCATTTAAAATGATGTGTACCAGAATATAGCCTTTGCTTAAGAAACCTGAATGAGGCTATTCTTGGGTAAGTAAATGTAATGTAGAATATCATAAAACATCCTTTTTCATGTGATTCGGCAAATTTATGCACTGAGGATCCCCTTCCTGATAAATCTCTGTATTGCAGAAGGCATTCCAGCTGAAAGTCAATGCATCCCGTCTCAATGAAGCTTTCTCAGTTGTGAGGCGCGTCCCGACCATGAGAGCCTCACTACCTTCTGGTGGCTTGATCCCATGGTCCGTGGTGGGTCTTCAATGAGGTGCATTACGAATCCACGGACGTAGGTGTTCCAAACTAGTCACTGGAAGACACTCCCCTCATCCAATATGCATCTACTTTTTATGGAAGCCTGGAAACTCTTATTACTGAAAACATATGTGTGTTCTATAATCTCACGTAAGCATATCAGTAGATTTCGTATGGCGTGTAAGCATTGTTTATATGTGAATGATGGTCTCTCTTTGAGATCACTATAAGTTCTCCATGGACTGTAGTCTTTTCGCTAGTTGATTGCATCTGCACAAGAATGAGACTGTACAAGTGCATCAGGTGTATCAGATACAGTGTTGGTCATGTAAATCACATGCTTGCAATTTGCTGTAAAATTGTGGTATATGGAGTTCCATAATGTTTGCTTATTAATGTGCATTTGGAACAATTCAAAGCATCCTGCCAAGAAATACAAATTAGTATCATAATGTAAGAAGAATGTGTTATTTTGCTTCGTATATCTGTTGAGATGAGGTAAAAGAGTGTACTCAAGTCTTTTGTTTTGTTACTTAGAACCTTTGGTTTCTCATGTCCTAAAAGAGTAACTACTTTACTTGGTTATGATCGATAAATACTAGTTCAAATTTAAATGGTTTAATTAACGATAGAGGTTCTTTGGAGCAGATTAATCATGTTAGAGAGAGAAGCTGTAGGTTATTTTCTTCCCTTCATCACCTATTCATCTCTCCAACAAAGCAGCAGACGAGGATGATTATTGTAATATAAAAGGAATATAGATATATATATTATTTTATTTGACTGGTGATCACTAAGTGGTCGTGCCGGAGTGGTTATCGGGCATGACTAGAAATCATGTGGGCTCTGCCCGCGCAGGTTCGAATCCTGCCGACCACGTAACAATCTTTTTATATCATATCATTTTCTCGGCGACTCCAAATTCCATAACGGGATAAAAAGTTCTTTTGACGCAACGAAGAACGCACACAACCTTCTCTTCCCGACCGTACGTACTCCATGAAATCTTTGACGAAGTAAGAGTGCGTAGCTTTTCTCCTCCGTAATGTCCCCCAAATCTTTGACGAAATACGACTGCATAGCTTTCCGAAGAACAACTCGATCTGATCTTTGATGCCTTTTTTGCTCCTCCAAAGGAGTGGAGTCTCTCTGTACACAGCCTTCCTTCCGAAATCTGCCCTGACGTGACCTCACACAAGCAAGATTCTGTGCCTTCTCATCGCACTCGCCTCATCACATCGCTTCTGCTTCACCCATTTTGGCTACTTGGCACTGTCGACATGATTCACCAACGGATTGGAACAGTGTTCTGCGGCCAGAACAGCATGTATCCTCGTCCCTGGAAATCCTACTGTCTCGAGATGAACAGCGAGCTTGACTTGGGAGAACGCATCCATGCAAATGCAGCCCTATCTCTTCGCTTTCCGGTACTGCCTCCTTCATTAGTTGCCACAGGTGCACGCATCACAAGCATAATCGCAAACAGCAGCAGCATATTTGCAGTACAGTACTGCCATGTTTGCTTGTCTCTATGAATACAGGTCTTCGAATGATGAAGTCTGCAACAGTGAGACTTCAATGTGGCTACAGCAGATTCTCTCTCTCTCTCTCTCTCTCTCTGAAACGAGGACGGACGGGGACAGAGAGTAATGAAGGCAGGGACATGTCTATTTGCACCCACTGGGTGACAAGGGAACCGACCCAGGATTTCGAGGATCCAACACTGCTTTCAATCTTCCCAAGAGATGTGACAGTAGGAGCAAGGAGTTCTTGCTTCAGCTTCCTGCTCTCTCTCTCCAGGATCAACCCCCACGGACTGAATCCCATCTATTCACATTTGCAGGAGCTTATTGCACTTCGTTATGCATCCATGGGTGTAACAGAGGAGGAGCGGCAGCAGCACTGTCACTTGTGTTTGTGATGGCACTCCTAATTCCTCTCACCTCGCTCTGTATTTTTTGTTCTGCTGACGAAAAATATGAGTTAGATTTTAAGAATAATTAATTAATTTGTTTTCAGAAAACTGGTGGGATAGGAGGAGGAGGAGGAGGAGGAGGAGGTCAATGACTCAAATCCAAAGATTCTCCCGACAACAAAATCTTATAAAGAAATCAATCCGTTCCCCCACTAATGCTTCAGCTGCAGCTCGTAAACAGGGAACAGCCTCTGCGCCTCCCGCTCGCCCCAGGTGTAAACAGTAGTGGGTCCCACGGGATTCGACACGTAGCCTTCCTGCTTGCTCCGAACAGCGACGAGAGGCTATGCTGCCATCACGACCGTCCATTTTCTCATGACGTGGTTTACCATCTCACGATCATCGATTGCTGCTCTGTAGGAAACAGCAAATCAAGTATGTTTTAAAATCCTATTCCTGGGACCATATCGAAGCCAATGAGAGATCGACACGAGAGCCAACAGGAGCGGTTGCTGTATGGGAAAAGACAGGTACGACGACTCCACCCGCCCACGCCATTCTCACCCCTCCCCTCCTCTTGAGAACAAGCAAAGCCACCGCACTCCCTCCCTCTCTCTCGGACATCTCGTGGGAGTTCAGAGAAGGGCGGTGGAGGAGATGGAGGAGGTCAAGGAAGAGGGCGAGGAGATGGACGTAAATGACTGTGGCGGTGGAGGATTGGAGGTGGTGAGAGTGCTGGTGGTGGATGACTCCCCTGTGGACCGGAAGATTGTGGAGATGTTGCTCAGAAGGAGTGAAGGAATTTTTGATGGTAAGATAAGGTTCTATTTCTGTTCGGTACTAATTATTATTGGGGAAGATGTGATTTTTATGATTCGAAATCTCTGTTCTATGTAAATGCTTTTGTGTCATTGGTCACATGAGTTTGTTTCTGTTCTTAGAATCTCCTTTTTCTTTACATTTTTTTGGGTCAATGCTTTTTCTTGCTTCTATGTGGGAATGAGGTTGACTTGTAGGCTTGTTTGCTACATGGTAAGATGAACTCCTAATGCAGGCAGATCAATTTTAATATATTTGATTAAAAAAAGGTTGTTCTTTGTTCTCCATAAAGTTATAACTTTTTCTTTCTTCTTTTCTCTTTCCAGTTGTTTCTGTTGATTCAGGAAAGAAAGCTATGGAAGTTCTCGGCCTCAATGAAATTGAGGCCAAACCACCCAACCATGATGTAAGTTTGTATTATTATTCTCTGAGTTATTTGATATAATAGCCTGCTCTGGCTCCTGGAATTATTATTTGCTATCAGCTGCATGACACTTAGTTTCTTTGATATGTAATGTGCAACATATGTAGGCAATGAATTAATTATTGTAATTCCCTTTGAAGAATTACTGAAGCAAATGCTCAATTGATAGGTATATTCGATAGAAGTTCAGAGCTGATTCGGTTATATAGTTGCTAGAAAAGAAAAAGATATGAAAACAGAAAGATTTTGATGCCGGAGAGTTGAACATGGTTGCGGCATAGCCTCGCATTTCATGATAAGTTTTCGAAGTGATGCTGAATGATTCAAGAGTAAACCACATAGTTTTTTGAGCAATTACGTGTTAGTTTATTTTAGGTCGACTAATTATTGAGAATTATCCTTTGAACCATTTGCCCAAGCACAAACTTGTGAATAATTCGAGAATACTTCAACAAATTGTTATATCATATAAAACAGGGACAAACTTAGGGACTTCTGTTTATGTCATATAAAATAGGTATAATCTAAATTGTTATTCAACTGATGTCATTTATCTTTATCAGAATCAACAAAACAGTTACTAAATAATTGCAGCTATCAGTTGGACCTATACATTGAAATGCTATTAACTTCCGAATTTACTTTTGACTCAATCTTGTTGATTAATAGTTACTTTTGAGAGCAAATTGATGACATTAATGCTTCTTTCAGTTTGCTGAAGCTTCTATTCGATTGCTTAATCTGCAAGCTATGTTTGACTTAATCTGTAAGTTGCAAAATGAAAAAAAAGTAAAAGAAAAAAACTCTTTTTAGCTATGTTATTTATTAATCTTGTACCGGATCCCTTTTGATATCTTGGTTCATGGCCTTTTCTCAGTGATTCAATATCAGCCGGTTGAAAATAGAAATCTCCTGGTTAAATTCAAGAAGCAAAGTCATCAGTTTGCATGCCTGTAAATAAGTTGTTCTGAGGATCGATCCTTGCATCACTACGTTACAAATCCAATTAGATTGATCTTTGCTAATTATACTACAACTTAAAAATACCCTCTCAGAATTTAACAATGTTGCTGTAGCTAGATAATTTTTCCCATGCTAAAAAAAAGTTGTTCAAGAGTCAATGACGATAAAGAGTATTTTGGCATCAATCTTGCTTCACTATCAAGGAAAGGAAAGAAGTGTTCTTCACATTGTTTATGTGGAGAAGGATAAGGAGGAACATGAAAATGTAAATAGAAAATTAATGCCTTTCAAAGCACTAAAATAATATTACCTTGCAAGAAGAAAAAGAAAAAGGAATGAATATTATTCTATGGAGAGCAGCTGAATATCAACTTCAACTCAGCAGGCAGTAAGAAGAAAGCATTTTCCAAATGTCAGAAAATGTCCCCTTATAGGTGGAATTTTCAGAAGATTGCTCTCTAATTGCATGAGATCCTTGGTTGCTAATGGCTTAATATTCTTTCCCTTTATAGATGATCTAAATGACAAGCTCCTTTATACTATGCATGGGCCATCATACAACTGTAACGTATATGATCTGTAGAAGTAAATATATTATACGAATGTGTCTGGTACTCGAATGCAATATTGACATTTTCAATCATGATATATTCATAACATGATTTAGATGCTAAAACCTTTTGCTAAATATGCAAGAGTGTTCATTTAAAATCCCATGGAACTTATTATTGTTGTGCTCTTCACTTTTTAACTTTTTCTAAACCTTTAAGAACTCAGTCTCTCTATCATAAACAATGAGGTAAATGCATTTATGAGGTGGACTGAAGTGACAGCATGGAGGAGGTTCTGTGTGGTTACAGAATATTGATTTAATTGTGGGAACTCATAAAACTTGTAGTAAGGCTTTACTGGATGTTGATTGTCAAAGATGTAATGCAAAGAGTCCTCACAATTGGGAGGATAAATGATCTGTTGCACAGTGCAACACTCTAAATTGTTGACCATAAAAAAGGAATGTATAAAAAGGTTCTTTTGTTTCTGTATTTTGGATGAATTTGTCAAGGTTTTCTTTTTCTCATCCTTTTTACTGTTGCAAAATCTGGCTGTGTGAGCTTATTATTTATGTTGCCTTCCTCACAAAAATGCTGAATCTACCAAAACCTGACTATTGATATATTCTGCAGGACCAGAAGATTGACATAGTTCTTACTGACTATTGCATGCCAGAAATGACTGGCTTAGACCTCCTCAAGGCCGTCAAGGTATTAATTGTGTTTTTAATTACCTCCTAATTATTGATTATACTCAGCTGAGTATAATTTTCTTTCCATTTCTTAGGCGAATAGCAGCTCAAGATCCATACCGGTAGTCATGATGTCATCTGAAAATGATTCTGAAAGAATCAGCAGGTTTGCTGCTTCCATTTTCACTGTGAACTTCTTCAAGTTATGATTCTGAGTTTACTTTAGGTTTTGTTCCAGCTATCTTCCGTATTCCACTTTAATACATCAAATTTTCTCATAATTGTTCAAAGATTTACGGATCAAATGACTCGAGTATTTGCTACATTCTTACTTGCTATAGATTCTAGTTACTTTGAAGTTCTCCTAAAACAAAAAACCTTCTAAATCTGAGATTCTCATTTTTGCATAGTGATTAAATCATCGGTGCTTCTTTTTTAGCTGTCGAGCCATCGGAGCTGAAGATTTCATCCTAAAACCTCTGCAAGTAAAAGATGTTCAGAGGTTAAGAACTTACACCGTACCAATTGGTCCGATGTCCAAGCGAGGTAGTAAGAGGAAGCTGCCGATGGCTCTGATAGCCGAAAGCAATGGCGCAGAGGCACGCCCACTCCTCGCTAAAGTAGCAGCATTCGGTTCTGCGGTTTTTCTGACACTTAACTTTTGGAGGTCCAGTGTTATGTCTTCATCGTGTAATTAGAATCAACAACCACAAGAAATGTTTTCAGCAGGAAATCAGATGTAAGAAATCTCATAGTCCATTCAATATCAGACTTAAACTGCATTATGTTTCTAGTTTGTGAGGATGGAAACCAGCACTTGTATTCACTGGCCCTTTCTGTATCCGAGTTTGTGAACTTCTACCAATAAGATTTTATGGTGGTTTGCAGAGTAATAGTGATTGAGCCACAAGAGAATTGTTTTTTGTTCACTGTTTTGCCAATGCCCAACCTGAACATGTTGTGTCATATCTCTACCATTATAATGCTCTTTAGATCTTTATGTTCATGAAGACAACTGCCTCTTCAATGCCAACCACTGAGCAGGTGAAAGGAACACCTCACCCTCATAAAGTCTTTACCAACTTAATTAATTAATACATTCGATAAACTAAATTCTTAAGATAAAGAAGATCAAATTTTAGATGCTCAACTTATAATATAAATAAATCATATATATCACTATCAAATTAATATTTTAATTTAAGAAAATTAATTTGTGGGATGTATTGACAATAACCGCATAGAGCCGAACACTTCATATACGATCGCATAAAACTTTCGATGCGGACTTTATCCTAACTTTGCGATCTTTTGTTAAGCTGCTCCATAGGAATGCTTAAAGAAACCGTGTAATTAGATATTGACGGCTGTGATTCGCCATTACGTTTACCTAAATATCTTATGATTGTGGATATCAACGGCTGAGATTCACCAAACTGGGAAGGAACACTGTACCGCTTATGTCGGTGACCGAGCTCTCCCTATAAATAGTGCTCCACCCCATTTCTTGTCAGTTCCGTTAGGAATCTTCTCGACTTGGGTCGTTGCGTTCGTCGCCTGCTCCGGCGTTCGGGGTTTCCTTGTTCCCTCCCTTCATCGGCCAAGAAGACGGCGATCGAGGCTGTGGCTCAAGAAATTCGCTGATCTTTCCTTCATCCGAGAACATGGCGCGGGATTCAGATAAAACTCTGAACCTTCTGTTGCGATTTTCCTTCTTTTTGCGCTTGAAAATCTATTCGTAGTAGTTCGACATTGTTCTCTGATATTTCTGGACGGATCTTGTTGTGATACACGATGATTTGTAGATCTGGCGATTGTACAACATCTTGAACAATTACTGATCTTTTTTTTATTATTGAGGTCGCAGATCACCAATTGTAGCGTACTCTGCGAGATCATTGAGGTCCATTACGTTAAATTTTGCTTAGTGTATATTCTTTTAGGTTTTGCGGATTGTTCTGGCCATCTGTTAAGGAATTTTCTTATGGTTTGTAGTTGTATGGATAGTTTGGTATTGGTGGGAAATTCTGTTTTTAGTTCTATGATTTGTATTGAGGGTTGTCTTTGTGTTGAGTTGATTGCATCTCATATGTATGTGTAGGACCAGAGCTTTTTCTTTACCATGGGTGCTCCATTTTGTGTCCTTGTTTTGGCATATGGGAATCTGCTGCATCCTTCTTGCTTTTGGAGTGCTGTTTGGTAATGTGCAATCGATTCGCTTGAATTTATGCTTTTGATTTGCAAATCTTTAGGTATCGTAAGTAGATCCTGTTGTTTTTTGTTTATTTGAGAAGAAATATGCATTCCTGATCATTCTGATGGCTATCAAATTGTGTTCACTTTCTTCTTCAGTTAGTAAGTCAAAGAAATCACAGGTACGCTGTTCGCTAACTTGGTCTTTATAAAGGGAATGGTGTGATTCCTACACCTGTTTTTGATTTGGTTTAATTGCAGTCATTTCAAGACTGTTGTCAGAAGCTGTCCATTGATGAAATTTGTCCTGTTATATTACTTATTCTACTGAGGCATAGCATTCCAATGTACAATTCGGCAAAGTCTTATTTTTCGCTCAAAATTTATTATTTTTCGTTTTGTTCCCGTCAATTTTTCTTTGATGCATTTTTTTTCATCGCAAGTTCTAGACAAGTACCTTTTTATTTAAATCCGAGTCATTAACATTTTTGTTGAACAATTTTTTAGGATTAGGAAGCAAATGTTACGACAAGCTTGAAAAGCAAAGGTTACGTTGAGAAGCAAATGGTACGACATACATGAAATATATTTAGGATTAGGAAGCTCGCGACATACATAAAAAGTGAATTAGGATTAGAAAATTCTCTCTTTTATATGAGTGGAACGGATTGTCGAAAATGAGAGCAATACACATACAGATTGATTTCTAAACCGATGCTGGTTTTAAAATAACAACATTTGTTGATTTATTTAGCCACACTTTTCTAATCATATGGTCAACGAGCAGTTGTTCTGACTGTTTCTAACCACAAAACAAATCTGATGTGGTACTTGCAGAATGGATTTACATGTGATAACCGCACCAGCTAATGGAGGAGCAAAGGATGAGATGGCTTGCGGTCAACCTTACAGCGGAGCAGCCTGATGCACAGATTAGATTAGAAGCTTGCGCACAGATATACACACAACCTACACTGAATGATGGATCATCGACAACTCTGTGACCATTCTACAGCACTCGTAGATTGGGAGAGTGTACCTAATTGAATGCCATTCACCTTGTGCCTCCACTGTTGCCAGCTGCAGAAAACAACCGACACCAGACACCATACATAATCTACCAGGTAAATAAAGGAAGAAGCAGGATGTACTTTGTTCCATTCTAACCTTGCTCCAACTGTTGCTCGATCTTTTCCTTCATATCTTGACGTTGGTGATTGTCGAGGAGCTGATTTTCGTCTATGGAGAGCTGTCTCAGAGCCTCTGACAACTTTCTGTACTTAGTTACCACTTGCTTATACAAGCCAAGCAACTGCTGCACGTCCTCCAACCGTAAGTCCCGTGCTTCTGCCTCCATGAACGGATATCCATTGCCTGCAAAATCCAGAACAAATTTCTTTTCTATAGCTAGCAAAATACACCTGAAAAACAGGCCTGATTCCAGTCGTCCCAGCAAAAATACACCCCAAAAAGAAAACATACCTAGAACATAATGGGTGGTAAATAAATGATCATACCAAAAGAAACTGCAAAAGCATCAAGAATGGACAGAAAGAAATACCCCAAATTTCCCTATCAGTCCATCAGCTCAAAAGAATCCGAGATGAGGAAAATAATATTGAATTTTCAGTGCTCTACACATCATAAATCCATTAGCATGAGTTGATTTATTATGCTGACCAGGACAAACAAACAAAAAACGACACTACCAAAATATTTAACATTGGATGCACCACATTGATTAATCGAGAACATATACTGATGTGTGAGAAAACCAGCACAACTTTCATGACAGATCATGCAAATGAGATGAGCAGACAAACACAGGTATCTGGCAATTATCTTTTATTTCACATTATAAAGGTACTTTAACAATGGGTTGAAGCTACTAAGTGATTGCTGCATGGCTTATTTGGGTTGAAGCTACTGCAAGAATATGCATTGCTTCACAATGATACTATCTGACAATGACATTAACTCTGCTGTTTACACTGAGTCCTAACATATTCATGAAAAGTCATTCATATATTAAGGGTGATTCATAGTGCCAGACAAATTTGCTGTTTCGATAAGGTCATTTATGATGCATGTACTAAATTAAGAGGAGGTGGTGTCCAATAAGTTACAGACTTAGTTAATAGACACTCTATCATTGAGATGATAGTCACAGATTGCTACATGATTTTTTCAAATTATGATTTAAGCACATTTATCAAGAAACATAATATAACTTACCTTCAACATAGATATACTTGTTTCTCACGATAGGAGGGCTGCCTTCTGAAAGTTGGACTGTACCACTAGGCTCATTGACAGTGATCTCACTAGCCAACCTTGCTAATTGCATGTTCCTGTGAAATTCACTCTCATCCATGGACAGTGAACTGGCATTGATATTTGTTATAAATGTTTTTGCGGAAATGAGATTGGTAAGGTAGTATTCCACTTCTGAGACAAGCTTGGAATGCTTCCTGTAGAGCTGAACAAATTTAAGGTTGGAATGCAACTGGGGTGGATTGGCCTACATGTATTCAAGAAAGAAACATAAATAACAAATTTCATTCATCTGATCAAGAGAATGCATGTTAAGGTTCAAACAGACAGCAGGCCAATTGTTCCATGGTAAGAATTAGACTAGTCCTTAAGACAGAGCTTCAAGTGCAGCCATGGAATAGACATTAGAAAAGCTCAAGGTCAGAAAAGGCAAACTCTGCCTTGGAGAAGAGACATCCAAGTTCAGTCAAAGCAATACTTAAGAACTATTTTACAAAATCTCATTAACAGCTCAATTTCTATAGGCAAACACTTTGCAACCATAAAGTAGATCCTTTTAAAGAAGATATTAGATGATGTTACAGTAAAGGATTAAAATTCCGCCCATTTTGTCTCATTCCATGCAGAACAATTTGTTTTGATGAGGAAATGGAATTCATAATGGGGTTCCATGAAGATAGTGAGCCCTGCACTTAAAATGGTGTTGTTTCTGTGTTTTACCAACAAACCAGTCAAATTTGGTCATATCAGTGCGTTAATGAACCAGTAACTTTAATGGTTTGAAGTGTCCAGCAGCTTATGAAAGGTCAAGGTAGCATTTTTCTTTCCACAAGATGGGTCATAAGTTGCCACCACGAGCACTTTTTTTTTTTTTTTTTCCTGTGAAATCATGAATCAGTCTGCAAGGCCATCCAAGCCAGGTCAACAACCACATGAGGCAACATTGAGCCTATCCTCACCAAGATTGAAGGTTTTGGTTGGACCGACTAATACCAACTGCTATTCACCAGTCTGACCATAAGCCGAAACATGGACCAGGCAATTTTCTTGTTCCAATTCCACTTTGCCTGGTATTTTTACTGGTTTCTAGCTATAACAATAAACCTATGGGTGTTGGTACCCCATCTATTGGTTTCTCATCTTCCTTAACTGATTTCACTATCACTTCCTTTCCTCTCCACTGTTGAACCATTCAACTTTCTTAACGATTCCACTTGATTTTTCTCTACTAGTATGTCATTATTGTTGTTGAACCATTGTATATAGTATATGGAGAAACTACATGTATCATCTTATACAGTGGAAAATATTGGAATGACACTCCTGATTTGAGCCCTTTAGAGACTGGATAACTCAGATCATGGTTTAAAAATATTGAGCATATTATATGGCTCTGTATTTATTGGTGTGACTTAACCGGTCGGTAGACAACCTGTTTTTGTTTAGCTTAGGTTTAATACTCACCACTAGCATGCCATGTACAGGTTAGCACGCAACAAGAAACATAGTGTGGAAGCACAAATAACCTTGTTTCTTATCCAAACATGGTTCTGACAGTTACATTTCAAAATCAAATAATGTCAATTTAAAGCTCAACAGAGATCTACATCTTAACAATGTTGAGTTTAGAACAACTGATTATTGCTGACATCCTTTAATAGTATAGTAATATACAGTTGATTTATTCAGGGCTTGCTATTGTTAGCAATAAGAGCATGTCAATAGAGTTCTGGCATGGCAAGATATAGTGTCATTTCAGTTGTTTGGCATTACCACTATGCCAGCCAGCAGAAGCAAAAAAAGGGCCTATTCATTGATATATTGGTATTTTCAGAATGAGTTAATAGATGGCATGTTGAAGTACATTGATAGCAGAGTAAACTTTTTTGGTGTATGTTATCCTACAATAAACACCCACCAAGAGGACCTAAGATATGAGTTTACAAGCAACAACAGCAAGAAACAGCACAGATAATGAAATAACAAGGGATTTCTCAGAATTATTAGAAAGAGAGCTTACTTTGATAGTAATATATACAAAACTGGAAGAAAATAAGTAGAAAGGGAACTTGCCTTGATAGTAACATATATAAGAATAGGAAGAAAGTCATCAGCCCCAGCTGGTGTGTGATTTGTTGTCATTGATATATCGAGCAATAAATTGTTTATGATGCGGCAGCAATTCATAATGCAGAGAAGCTTATCTCGGGGAGCTTTAAAAAAATTAATTTTCTGCAGCTCTTTTGCAGCAAACTGGTAACCAGGGAGAAAGAAAATTAGTCAAAGCATTCGATAAACAAAAACTAAAAGCTAATAGGTTGTTGCAAGATGCAACTAAAATCACATTGCAACACCTACATTGCAATTTATAAAAAAATCATAAAAAATCTGAAGAAAGCTATTCTTGATGTGCAGCTCTCGTAAATTTGTTATGTTATGGGTAAACCAGTGATTTAAAAAGCGCTAGGCGCCAAAAGGCGCCAAGGTCCAAAAACGCCCGAGGCACTAGGCGCTCGCCCAAGCGAAGCGAGACGTTAAAATATAAAAATATAAAATATAATTAATAAATATAATTATTTAAAATTTTAAATAAAAATATGCTATTAAATTAAAAAAACCTAGGATATAAAATCATAATGTCACATTAACAAAAAGTTTTAAAATTCAAAACAATAAAATTTTACATCAAAGTCATTCATCATAATCAATATTATCGTCATTTTCACACAAATCATCTTCATTGAATTCGTCCTTTTCCTCTTGTGCTTCGACTCCTTCCTCTTCATCAAAATATGTTTCATTCTCTATGTCTTCAACAATAGTAGGAGCCGAGCTTGATGTTTTTGCACTGCATTATGATCTTTCGGATCCTTCAGATAATTATACTTCCATGCAGGATCTTTTTTTGATGCCATTAGAGACTCTATTGAGTTGCTCTGTACACTTGCCATCTATCCTGAAACCTAACAATAATTTCAAATAAATAAAAATTAACAGTATTAAAATCAAAATAATATATTATTAATCTAATAAATATAAATACATTACTGTTACTAGTATACTGTTAACAGTATACTTTTGAAAGAAGAGAAGGAAGAGAGTGTAAGGGAAGACCGTGGGTGCAGCAACAGTGGTAAAAGTGAGCAACGGCAGCGGGAGCGGGAGCGGGAGCGGCGACAGCGACAACAGCGACAACGGCAGCGGCGACAGCGAGAGTGGGAGCAGGAGCGGCGACAGCGGCAGCGGCAGCGAGCAGCGACAGCGGCAACGGCAGCATGAATGGCGAGCAAGGTTAGGGTTGGGCAGCGGCAGCTGATATCGATACCTTAGTTGGTTCGATTGAACCAACTAAAGCACCGGAGACCGAACCAGACCTAAAATGCTGGTTCGATCGCCTAGTTTAACCCAGGCGCTCGCTCGAAGTGCCCGGCGCCTGGGCTCGGGCGAGCGCCCAGGCGGCGCCTCTTTGAAGCGGGCTGCCTGGGGGTAAACTAAGTTTAATTTTAGCAGCCACTCACAATATTAATTCTCAAGAGTTGTGTCATATTCATGACCAAATAATGTCTAAAAACACTGTGACACGATCAGTTGCAGTTGACTTAATTTCTTTTAACATTGTTTCCTCAATCTCACAAGCTCCATTGGTTACTCAACATTGTTGAGTCTAGCATGAAGCCATTGATCAGCACTGCACATAAATCCATCCTCCACCAGATTTCACCAACGATACTTATTATCTGATATAGAGCAGGAAGCCTTTTCTCTTGTTGGAAACTGATGCCATCAAAGAGTCCACTCTAAAGCAATGTGGATGCTGGCACTAGCATCATGCATTGTAGAAAATAGCATATGTAAAGAAGACATGCAATTAAGTTTCACTGCTCTAGAAGAAAACAAACAAATTACAGTCGAACTCAATTCATCATAAGCATCAACTATAGACAGCGGCATAATAATTTCATAAAGAAAGCATGGCGGCCACCACTTTTAAAATCTAAATAATTTCAACCATAAACTTGATTCATGAATTTCTTTTTTTGTTTTTCAGCTAAATTTAAGTTTGTCAAGGGCAATTTGAATGGATCATCTTCACTTTGAATTGGAAAAGGCTCTTTTGATCTAGTTTTATTGGCTCTAAAGTCTAAATAGAACCATGGCTGGTGCAACCTATTCCAAGATAGGAGGGTGTAATTCTAAATCTTCTAGTTGAATTTGTTGTCTTTTTATGATGGCTTCAAGCATCCCCAGATAAATGTGTTTGGTGCATTTCCTATTCTTGCAAGAGATTGTTCAATATATTCAAGTCTTGAGGAAAGCGACAAATTGACATCTTATTTTAGCTTCCATATTATCTAGTGCAAACTCAAGTGCTTTTATATCATAACAATAAGATACCACAACTTTTAGATGGCCATTGCAGGAATGTCGATCCTGACATCAAGCATTCCAGTAAAAATAAAACATGTCAGGATAACATATTCATGTTCTGGAGGTAGAAGTGAGATGGGTAAGAAGCTGTGGCCGGTAAGCAAAATGCTTGAGGAAGAAACCAATGTTGGCGGACTACTGGATTGCCACATCACAGCCAACACATTGGTGTACTGGCAGAACAGGAAAGACAGAAAATTGTGCAAAATGAAAAAAATCACGAGTAACTTGATACCAACAGTCTTTCTTTTGTAGATCCTTTTTTTGATCTCCAAGTAATATGGCATATCAAAATACTCTATTAGACACCCAAAAGATATAGAAGCTTAGTTCCCTTAAACTAACAAAAACAGACACTAATCTTACCACATGATTCTTCCTAAAGTAGAAACAAAGCTTCGGATATAGATCCAAAGATGGAAAACAAAAAGGGACTTTATTACTTTATTAACTTGATCCGAGAGCATAAATTTTTGACTTGGCTACTAGACTCAAATCTGATAAATTAAAATTAAACTGAACCTACTAATTAATAATACTGATACAAATCTCAGCTACATCACAATGACAAGCTACAATCATGTCTAGCAGACCCCTCCATTGCAAGCTATTGCTAGGTGAGACAATACTCATCATTGCTGTCAAAAGAAAAATCAAGGTTAAAATGAAACAATAGATGGAGTCCGCTGGCACTAGCAAGTGTTAAAGAAAAAGAGGAGAACAATAAGAGGATAAAGAGGTCAGCTAGGTAAGCACCATCCCTCACTGAGCCCATCACTGAAGTTGACTCCAAAGTGGAGCGGAAGTTGAAAAAGGGAAAGCCATTGGGATTTGATTGTTGGAGAAGAGGAAGAGATGATAGTGGAAACAAGAGGAAAAAGAGAGAAAGCAAAATTGGAAACACATTCTAATGTTTTCCCATATGGTCATCTGAACATCCTCATGCTTTCAAATTAACCCTTCTAGCTCGTTTACAGGTTTGAAAAATTCTTGGCCGAAATGCTAGTCCACCGGTTCAGATAGCCAATCCAACAGATCCTGATCCTCAGTCCAATGGTCAATAATCACAACCCTGCTCCTAACTTTGGCCCGGCTGGGTTTGTTGGTTACCATTACAGAGCTTCTCTTGTTCCATTCTGTATGAAATTATAAACTCATAAAGACAAAGAAATATCAGTTTCTGAGCCCCATTCAGTATCCGTATTTAAATTTTAAAACTCCAGAAAGATACATGGAGGAAAGAAAAGTAACAAGAATTTAATAAAACTAGGAATATATTCACAATGATCATAGTGAAAACAAGAGAAAATGATACATCAACAAAATTTGGTAAAGTATACATATCAAGGTCTTAAATATTAGTCAGTCATATATGTACCCACCAATATTCAACTGTCCAATACCACCCCAACCAAGGATCAGTACCGGACTATATAGATTGTAAGTTGTCAATATTTTTTAAATATTTTTGATAATATCAACAATACAGATCACTATATTGCTCTCCAAGAAGTTGCTGGAACTGCCTTTGGACAGAGATCTAAATCTTAAATATATAACCAAAAAGACTTCCACATTGGGTTCACTAAAGAAAACACAACACCAGTACACTTTAATCATGTTAACAATGTTTCCCAACTTGTAAAAACTACTAATACAAATGTCTATGCAAATTAATTTCTACTGTCTTCTAATAAATAAGCTACACGTTACTAAGTCTTAATAAAATAATGAAAAAATATACTAGCAGAAATTGTAATCATTTCACTGTTGTGAAGAAAGTATACTTGCAAACTATGAGGACATCATGTATACCAGCCATGAAGCTTCATTCTGAAAAACTCTAGGCACATCCAAGTGATCTGGCTTAATAAAATGCTGCAACAAGCAATTTTTCTCTGAAATCTCAAGGTCCAACTTCGCATCTTCTGAGGAGGAAGCAAATGTATGAGTGAACAACTTTGTCATGATATACTTTTCTAAACCCTGCATAGCCAAAATGAAAACGTGATACAAGTAGAATTGAAACATGATCGAGTAAGATTCAGGAAACATGGCTAATAGACATTTAATTCAACAGAAAAACAAGTACTAAATAATCAGATAACCAATCATGCATAATGAAACACAAGTGAACTGAAGAGTTACTCAAATGGCTGAATCCTAGATTTATTTTCACTACAGTTGATCCACTCAAGACATATATTTGATGACCTCAACAATCTCATCCCGTGTACAGCCAGCTTTCACTGTTCTACCAATTTCGAAGTGATTTTCAGAAGCTCAACTACTGACAGATAAACTAAAGAGAGGTCACAGGCAACCATTCTAAAAGGACCAAAGAAGACAAAGCCTTCTCCTACAACGATAATATTATTATTTTATTTCTTAGTATATCTTTTGTTGAACAGTGTTAACAGGGCAAATTTCTTCAAGGGTTCTGGTATGATGTCAGGTATGTAAATCAGATCCAGACTTTCACCAGAAGTTTTGTACATATATGTCAACAATAACATTCGTGTGTATGAATTTACTACTATGTTAAATGGATTATTTTGATTTTTCCTGACCTCAGCACTTATTTTAAGTTAACATGACTTTGCAAATTTGAACATAAATTTTGGAGATCAAGCTTTTTTACGTTGAATGCAAGTCAAGCAAAGCTAAAAACCAGAAAAATATATGTTCTATCATTTGTAGGCAATAAAAGAGTAGCAACCTAATCAAGATTCTTGCATGCCACTATTTCACAAGAAAAAGAAATCTGAATGCATGAAGGGTTTTTATAAAGCTTCAGAGAAGTGATTGAAGATACTACAGTAATACCTCAGTAAAAAACTAAGCGAAAATGAGCTAATGAAGTTTGCAACCATTTGTTCAATAGTCAAAGTATCCCGTAAATTGAAGCAATAAACTGTCAAGAAGAATAATCAATGAACAATCTATTTTGCACCTTGTCTATGATAAGCCCTATGTTTCAAACACTACTAATTTTGGTATTTTTAAGTTTTATATCACAAGTGCCAATAAAAAATCTAATAAATAAAAATTAATACACGAAAGTTTCCACTTATCTATATGCTATGTCAGCAGAAGCACTACCTCAATTGCACTATCTATTTCCTCATATGTGGCATGAGCCCACAAGGGATGCTCCTTGATGGTGGTCTCCATCATAGCAAGAAAATCTTGCACCTTGTTGCCATCATGTTCAGCATTGGAGGTTTGAAATGGGAACGATATGACAAAGCTGAAAAGCAATGTTAGACACTTTCAAGTCATCAATCTATTATAGAAGTTCCACACACAAAGATCTGTCATTTATTAATATGGTGCTGATAAAATATGGGCACAATGATAATCAATAAACTATGCGTTAAACATTAAAAAAAGAAAGAAAATATAGAAAGAGATCAAGTCTGGGGCAGGCAGAGAATTTGAAGAAATTACAAAAAGAGAGCAAAACATATATATACAAGGCCTCGGACAACATAACTTTAATTTCTCAGTTATCAAATCAAAACCAACTACAACCATCTGCATGCCTCTTTGTTTGAAAATTATCCTAGAACAAAAATGCAATTTAGCTTAATCCTATACTCAATTATGACTAGATTACAACATAATTTATGTTCCTCCACATTCATCTCATCCTTGAGACTAAGAATCTCTATTACAAAATGACCTACTCATAATCACATCAAAGTAGATTGTGCTGCAAAATCCAGTGAACATAACAGTTATCACAAACAATTCATCACCAAATCTTCTCTGCGATTAATCGATTTATCATTTCATATATATTCCACAAAACATGAATCCATCAAATTAAATTCCATACTTGTATCAGATGCATCTCAAAGATCAAACCCAAGAAATCAAACAATATATATTGAAAGAACAAGGTATCGATGGACCATTTCTGAGAACCACATATCCTAACAGGCTACTTGCATGGAGAGGAGAGAAGAGGAGAGGAGAGACTTGGAAAGAAGTGGATACTCTCATTTTGATGCAGTATTTGTAACTTTCTCCCATCAATGGGAATGAAATGGAAAGGCCCTTTAATCTTTCTCTTAAAAAGTTGAGAGATTTGGGTAAAAGAAAGAAGGACAGTTTCTCGGGAAAAGCCTCATATTTCTGGGTCTTCCCAGATAAGCCTAATGTTTCCAACACCTGCAGAGAGCCCCAACTTTTCAAAAGGATACAATTACCCTGGCTGACAGCTGACAGCAAACAGCATAAGTCCATTACAGTTGGGTTTCCCACCGAAATGCTTTTAGTGTGGACCAGTTGTTTAATCAAACTATTCGAGAACTAAACCAACTCAGTCATAATGTTTTTTGAACAGAATTTAAGTGCATTTGTTAAGTAATAAAAAAATATCATAAGTCCATTCAAGAAACATTGTGATTAGGTAATGTCTCATCTTTTTTATTGTCATTTATTTCTTCCATGATAAATGGAACACAAATATTATAAGTGTTTACAGAATATACAAAACATAAATTTAAGAATAACTGGAGAAAAAAGAGGACATGTAATCCTTTACTTTGAAAAATGCCAAAATCTTCGTAATTTCTATCCAAAACTAATTAGATTCTCATATAAATCATTTTATGAGACCTCAAAACCTAAATGAAGTTCCGTTGGTTAAGTTTGTTGTAACTAAAACCAAATAAGTTCAGTTATAGTACTTTTATACAAATTAATTGTATTTTGTTTCAGTAATAAAAAATATTATAAATCTATTAAAAAATACTATAACTGAAACTTGTCTTCATGTTTTCTATGGTCATTCTTTCACAATAAGACATAGATATTGTCTATTTTTAAAATAATATAGACCCAAATTTAGTGGGAAAAAGAGGATTTGTTATCCTTTATTTAAAATGTACTAAAATATCCCTAAGTTCCATCCAAAACTACTCAAAATTCTCATACAAGTTATATTATGAAACCTTGAAATTTATAAAAAGATTGATAATTAAGATTGGTGGGAATTTAAACTAACTGAAACTTGATTATAATGTTTATCAACAAAGTTAAAGTGTCTTTTAATCACTGAACCAAACCACTGTAGGTCTATTCAATTTAGCATTTTGACTAATTTGATTGAAATACTGGTCTACCCCAATCAGGTGAAGTTCAGCATTAACGGTTGGCAGTTGTACGATTGTTTGTTGTCAGCCAAGGAAATTTTGTTCATGTAAAAAAAGTTGCGCTCTCTGCCGATAATATGAAAACATGGACTTGATCAGAAAACGCCCAAAAATCTAAAACTTTTACTGGAAAAATCGCACAAGAATTATAAGTGTTCATTTCAATTCAAAAGAAATGAAGTTTCTCTCTCTCTCTTCTTGTTTCATTTCCTTGCTTCCTCTTCTTTCTTTTCTTTTGCTAAAGAAACACATGAAAGCTAAATCCAAAGAACTGGTGACTGGAAGAACCTATAAAGCCATCACAAACAGATCCAATCATCAAAACACTAGAAATTTATATTTAAGAAAACTAGAACCGATAATCTCACTTCCAAGAACCACAACTCCAATTCGAGATTTACAAACTAAACCCTAAAGATTGAACAAAGAATGACCAAAAGAAACACAAAAATTACAACTCAAGGAATTCCGAACTAGAATGTTACCAAATCCATCAAACAAACAGACCCAAATATCCAAAACCTAGAAAACCCACGATCCCACCTCCAAGAACCACCGCCAGCAATCAAATTCCAGAACCGGTGACTAAACCCTAAAATCTAACTAAAGAATCGCCGAAAAGGAGCTCCAGTGGCTGTCAAGATTCAGGGGGGAAAAAAAACGTCAATACAAAGGTGGGAAAGGACCTTTTGATGGAGCGGACGAGATCGGCGGCAGCGGGTCGGCGCATCCGATTGAGAAAATCGTAGAAATTAGGGTGGGAGACATGTGACGGTTCCATCGAAATCGGAAACTGGGATCGGCTGCGATCGCGACTGCCATCGCCACTTCGTGTGTCGCCTCCGGCCGTCAATATATAAAGGAATAGAGCACGAACAGAAGAAAGGGGGCTCGAGGAATGTTAGTTGTGACTCGCGCGCGCGTAGTTAATGTTAATGGAATCGGATAACGCACATATATATATATATATATATATATATATATATATATATATAGGGTATTTCTTATCCAATACCTTTCATTTTATTTTTTAATAATATTTTTATTTTTATAAAAATTAAATTAAATTCTTCCTCAAAAAATTTTTCACTTATTGTAGTATTTTGGTCACCATAATTAAAATACTATAAAATTACTTGAGAATACTGTGAATAAGCTAAATGAAATCAAAACACATTGATAATGATTTGATACATCATATTATATTATGATTCAAATAGGTATTTACAATAGTTTAAAAAATATTAAATAAAATAAAAAATTAACTTGTTACAATGTTATTACCATCATAATAAAAAATATATAAAATCTACTCGAAAACACCGTAAATAATCTAAATGAATTCCTAACCTTAATCAAACTAACTATAAGCCTAAAAATATGATATCATAATGATTTACGAGCAATAATGACAATCGGAGAGACAAAATATGATGTTATTTATCATATTTTTCAATAACATTTACAGTACTTTCAGTACCTCAATAAAATAATATAAATATTATTGAGAAATACTATAAACAAACCAAATGAAAACACTATAACAATCTAAAACCAATAAAAAATAAGCAAAAAAAATTGAGTCATATTTTTATGTATTTTAATTAGGAGTACTATGGGGATATCGATTGAGAATATATATATATATATATATATATATATATATATATATATATATATATATATAT